AATCTGGGACCGCGGGCGAATTGGGAGTAATTAGGCTCCGGGCGAAATAAAACTCGGGCGGAATAGGACATAACCACTTCAAATACAGTTAATTACAGTATGTTTTGAAAGAGTTTAGATTTAGTATAAAATTGACTGATTATTTAATTTTGTATTTACAAACTTTCCAATGCTTCGCAACTTGACGCACAAGACAATTAATGTGGTTCATTAAAACTGCTGTCCATACTATTGAACATTGAACACCGTAAAAACCCAAATTAAACGATGATTCTGGACACATAACCAAAAACACAGTCAAAAGTGTACAAGCCTACCATACGTGTCATCTAATATTGTTACATTTTATGTTTATGTCCTTCAATCGATGTTTACTGTATTTACATTTTCCTCGTGACATTATTTTTTCTTTGACGATTTTAATTGTATTACTAGGTATAACATTGAAACAAAAATTCTCCAAAACTAGTCAGACACATTGGATTGGCGACATGAAGTAATCTACATTAAAGCCTTTACAAAATCCAATCTACCAAGGACAATCTAACAGCCTGTCAACTGCAACGTGTAAATGATTGGATATTCGGTGTCGCTATCGCAGTGGCGGTGAACCAGTTTTGATCAGAGCCAAAGTACCGGTTCATGTACAGGTTCATGTACAGGTTCAGGATCAAGTCCACGACCACGGCCACTGAATTACGTCGCCATAAACCTTCTAAGAACATCGGCGGGGCTAGCATCATCTTACATGTCGATGAACTACCATAACGGGGAGCGAGCTCGTCTAGTGGTAGAGCGCGGTGCTTCGGTCTCCGAGGTCCCGGGTTCAAATCCCGCCAATCACCAATGGATTTTAACTATATGATAATGACGCAACCCTCTAGGATTGGCCTGAATTAAAAAAACTACATCCTTTCTGGATGAATTTGCAGTAAAATATTGCAGTAGTTGAGACCTTAATAGCTGATTTTATTTATTGATTACATTGGAGGTCGTGTTGAAGCTACACTTGATTTCAAGATTGTCTGGTTAGCCAGTAGAAGTGTATACCTTCAAATCTAAAGGTTTCAGGTTCGATTCCAAGCGGAATGCATTCTTTCCCCGGATGTAATTTATTGCCATTGGGCTACCAATTAATGATACTTTCTAACAAAACTACGTTAGTATAGTTAAACAAGACCGGAGTCTAAGAAAAAATACAAATGAAAATATTAACGTCTGTAATTTATTGACGCCATTTAAGCGTTTAATATGACATCATTATTAGGAGTTTATTTTATTTCATACAAGACTACCTACTTGAAGTTTTCAGCTAATATTTCCTTGTGCGTTATCATATTAATCTTTGCCCAACAGTTAATGTTTTTTATGTTGTAAATTTCAGTTGATGGTGTTGTTCATAAACTTATTCACGAAGCTACAACAAAGCATTGTCCAATAAAACCTAACCCCAAACTAAGGCAAACTTGGATAGTCACTTAATGCATGTTTAATCATGATTTAAACTGTATTTCCAGCTGTTGCTATAAGCTATCAGCTGATTATTGGCCAAAAGTAGCCAGAGAGGGTTCAAGGTTGTTTCATCATTTATCATAAGTAAGTACTACGAAACGTCTGTAACTGACCTAGAACTATAAGTAGAATGAATAAATGCATTCGATTGCCAGCATAACTTCAAATACAGTTAATTACAGTATGTTTTGAAAGAGTTTAGATTTAGTATAAAATTGACTGATTATTTAATTTTGTATTTACAAACTTTCCAATGCTTCGCAACTTGACGCACAAGACAATTAATGTGGTTCATTAAAACTGCTGTCCATACTATTGAACATTGAACACCGTAAAAACCCAAATTAAACGATGATTCTGGACACATAACCAAAAACACAGTCAAAAGTGTACAAGCCTACCATACGTGTCATCTAATATTGTTACATTTTATGTTTATGTCCTTCAATCGATGTTTACTGTATTTACATTTTCCTCGTGACATTATTTTTTCTTTGACGATTTTAATTGTATTACTAGGTATAACATTGAAACAATTAACAAAAATTCTCCAAAACTAGTCAGACACATTGGATTGGCGACATGAAGTAATCTACATTAAAGCCTTTACAAAATCCTGGAGGCAAAAATAAACCAAGGGATTACCTCTTCGTAATCCCTAATTAGTCTGATGTTTTTACACAACAAAAGGAGAGTAAAATACTTTCGCTTGTCCGGTTCAATAGGAATGTGGCGTGGATACAAGCATCCCATTTAAAATAAACTCAGATTCTTGGCTTGTCCAGAGCATCAGTGAAAGCTGCAAGTGAAATTACACCTCTGTCTACTGTTGTAGTTTTGTTTGAAAACTCTATACAAACAGTAAGTTATCTCATAAAATAGTTGTGTACAATAGTTGAGCAACTTAATGGTTGTATAATGCTCGCCTGAGAATCAGAAGTCGCCAGTTCGATCCTGTAAAATCAGAAGATTTCGATAGCTCCATCCAGTTTTTATCCTTGATATCTTCTAGCTAGGCATAGGTTTTTAATAAATGATCCTGACTAAAGAAAGAGCTGATTTCAGTTTGTAAGCATGCTACAGATATCATCAAACAGTTTATTATACTTCCTCCCTGCATTCGTAGCTATTCAGTTTAAAAAGCTTAAACAAAAAAGGGGTTTCGCGTTGTGCCCCTTTTGTTAAACCATATTAATAATCTCAAGTAAGCAAATTCTGCAAATTAATACCAGTAACTCTTCTGATTTGATACTAAAGCAGTGCTATACTAATACCGGCTCCTTTTGAACAAAACAGTTAATAAATAGGTTTAACTCATTTTTATTTCTGTCTACAATAAAAGAAAGAGTAGAGTCAAGAAACATTACTTGAGTATTGACTCAAGTGTTTTTAAACAATTGATAATGTGCTCAGCTGACTGTGTTTGTCAAGCGCAGCTGACATTGTCTGGAAATCAGCTGATTTGCTACAAGCATTTCGGAGAAGTCTTCTTGGAGGTTCTTCATCTGCTAATGTATATTTTTAACGTATGAAACGGATTTAAGTCCAAAAGAGTCAGCAAACAAAAAGGTGACAGATAATTTGCAAGGGCTAAAACAAATAGTTCTTATAAATTCAAAGAAAATAGATTATTGCTATCATCAAACACTTGAATTTCATATTGCAAAACAATTATGGATACTCCGATTTATTAGGTAAACAAAATATATTTTGCTAAGCACGTACAAAATAAATAGTTAGGAGGTGGAAATAAGATTAAATCCTCAACAATTATTGTAAAAGTCTCAAAATTATGAAATACCGTACCAAATGTTCAAATGACATCTGATTTGCACCACTCCACATAACTTGAGGTTTTCTGGTAGTTTTTTTATCAGACATTCAGACATTTCGTAGTAAATTTTTCAGAAGTATGCACTGTTGTTCTTTGGTTATTATGCATTATCACATGTATTATTAACATGACACTTAGACTATTGTGTTTTACATAGACATTCGGATAGTTAAGGGTATACACTTTCATTTCTACTTTGTATCGTGCAAAAAGGAAAAGGAAATAGGTGTACCTGGAAATTAATTGTAATTAAAGGTGTTTTAACCCGTAGACTAGTTTTTTACATTTTATCCTTTTTTTACTTTAATTGTACAACAAACGCTGTGATAAACAAAATTATTTGTTTTTGATGTTTTACACGATGGTCACAATTTAAATTGAACATTTACATGTTTTAAGGGTAAACATGTAAAACCCACAGTTTTAGAAATTGCAAAACTAAGTCATACTACCCCGTTTCCAAGACCTGACCAATGACCATGCTGGTACGCGAACTCAATCAAGTTTATCCTGCTCTAAACCTTCAATTTAAATTTAATCAACATCGGACAAAAAATACTGGTGCTATCGCGTTTATGGACACATATATAAACATTTTGAACGAATAGTGTTTTTGGCATTAGTCACTAACAAGACTACAAGATCGCGCCACTCATCCTACTACACTCATCTCCATCCATACGGCTTAAAATACCTACATTCGTATGGTCGTCATTTCAAAGTAAAGTATTTAAGACATCCAAATGAAAAATAATCTGGTCCTGGGTTTAGGCATAGACAAAAATAATTAAATATAGACCGTCAGCCGTGCTGCGGTTACCATAGGTTCTGGCGCACACCGCTGGAGGCGCCATGTACTTACGGCGTAAGCACTACCATGCTACGTAACTACACAGCGCTCCCAGCGGTGTGCACCAGAACCTATGGTAACCATGGTAACCGCAACACGGTTTTACTGTGCTAACTACGGTTATAGCTACTTACCTATAGTGAAATTCGCTAACGAGGGCATAACCTTTGCTGTAAAGCTGATCAATGTTTAGTGGTATTTTTTCAAAACTAAACTCCAAATTCAACTAATTTGTAAAGAGTAAGTGGTAAATTACCGTTTTACTAGTGCCCCACATATAAAATGGGCCTTTATAAAACAGTCCGAACCCTGGCATTTGTTACTGTTACTGTCTAACGTCGACTTTATGTAAGGCCCACTGGAAAAACTTTCTAGTTTTTTTTGTTCTAGTGGGGCCTTGCTAGTATGTCATACAAACTAAATATAAGCAACATTAGCAGACTTGCTCATGCTCCCTTACTTTTAATTAATTACATACTCATTAGTTTTAACATGAGATATTCCTGACCAAAGTATTACATCTTGGCAATGTTTTTAAAAGCTGAACATTTAATTTTAATGAGGGTTTGAAGATTGACCTTTAAAGTTTTAATGCAATGATAATGCATAAGCCAAAGCTCGCCATCGAGTTATTTTGGAATGGTCAACATTAATTGAACCAAATTTAAGATTGATACATTTTGTTATATCTATGCTCACAAGTAGAACACTAACAAAGAGGCCTTTGGTTACTGAGTTGGCACCACTGAATTTTGACATTTCGTTTCGTTTCATTTTCAAACGAAAGTTTTGTTTGTTGTTGTGCGTGCTTAATTGTTGTCACTTGTCTGCTTAGTTGTAAGTTGACATAAGTAAAATTTTTCAGCAAATATGATACATTTACTTAGGATTTTATTTTATCCTGTATATTATTATTTTTTAGGAACTTTCGCAATAATTGAGGATATATTTTTACGCCGCTACAACAAATGTGGTAAGTTAGATAGTTATAAACACTGATCCGATTTAACCTAGAAACCTACTTACCTACTTTTTAAAAATCATTTTGGCTATATTTAATTTCACTATACACATACCTACACCATTAAGAGCAGCTGGGTCATCAGTCTTTGATAGGCTAGATAATTTAGTTTCTGTAATCCATAAGAACTAGGTAATCAGGGTTTGACACTATTGTGGGGAACTACCCTACCCTAACTGAGTTATCTAGGCCTATCTTAGGATTTGAGAAAGCATTTAACTGTAAGTTTAACTGTAATTTAACTAGAACCCATTATAGTGAAAATACTCGTTTTCAAAACTCTAGCTTTGAAGAAGGGCCTAAAACTTATCAAAGTTTAAGTTATATTGAACACAGTTCGTGAATGTTCGTTATTAGTTTACAAATTAAGATAGTGCCTAAACTTACGTTAAGCCTAGTTTACAAAAACCTAATGTGTAGATGTGAAATATCGCATGTTTACAAAATGTTAGCAGGATGTCGTAGACCTAGGCCCAATGCCTTTGGAGCGGGAGAGGTTAGACCTAATATAATTTACCCATAGTAGAATATACAGTGTTTCATCTCAATGCTTAAAAGCTCAATGCTCAATGGTCTTATTGCTGTATTATAGGCTTGATTTAGTTAATTTTTTGGAACCCGCATTAATTTTATACATTTTATAAGTTATTGGATTTGTTGTAGAGTTGAAGACGCGTAGTGGAGATGTAGCTGTGATAACAGGTGGGGCTCGAGGTATTGGAGCTGCAGTTGTCAAGAAACTGCTGCAATGTGAGATGCACGTTGTCATTGGTAAGCAATTAAATGACTTTCATATCCGCTGGAAAAGAAATGTGCACCCGCAGGGATCTAAATTTATAATTCTCAATTATCTGTTTTAAGGGTCCTGTTATATGAGCACTAATGCTGTGGCGCATTTTTTGCGGGAAAACGGGCACTAAATTTTCAGCTTATTCATGATTCTATGAACGCAGCCCAAGGCATGAACGTCACGAATCGCTAGTGCGTACCCCTGTTTACCTTTACACAGCACTGACAGTGTGTTGTCGTCACAAATATTCCCGACGGACACCTTGCAGTCAGATTTTTAACAGTTCTTATATATTTTAGAAACAAAGGATAAACAATGTATTGCCTAATAGAAGGCAGTACACACCCTTTGCTTACTGGTAGTACTTGTTTATCAACAGGGTAGTTTCATCTTGTGTAGATTAGACCGCTTGTTGGTTGGGTCTCTTCTGCTAGATATAAAGCAGAAGAGGTACTTTGACAACCACAGACTACGACTGCACGTCAACCACAAAGTTCGACTTCACATCAAGTGCGCTTCGACAACTCTGTGTAGGCCTATAACTTGGTCCTTAAAGTTTAAACAGATTGTAGCGGCAAATAAGTTCCCTATGTCTGACAGTGTTTTATATGAGTTTGTTTGTAGAGCAGGGCCTTTTTCTCTAACCCCTGAACAAGCTACCTGGTTTTAGGCTCTGCTCCACACCCACAACACTAAAAATCTGTCCAGCCCATTAAAGTTTTCAGTAAAAAAACCCACTACTCCTGTCCAATATTGAGTAATGTTGATTCCATCGCTTCCTAGGTAGTTTTTTTGCTTTTGAGTACATATGCCTGATAAAACATTGGTTGATTTTTAACTGGTTGACATAACTAGTGGTTAGATTGCGGGACTTCTGTCGTCAAGCCCTGGGATTCAAATCCTGCAATCAACAATGGAGATTTGCTATATGTGATTATGTTAAAGGTTCACCCATCAAGGAAACAAAATTTTAGAAGAACTTTGTTTTGAATTACTTATTCCACTAAAAGCCATAATTAAATTAAATGTTCTGTCTTACAAACTTAACTTTGAATGTTAAGATGAAAATTTGATGTTATTTTGGTAGATTTTAAGAATTGGGAAAAATTTTCCAAAAGCGTTTTTTTAACCCCAGGATATTTGTAGCAAAACTGGGATGAAAGGCTACACCGTTAGGAAATAGAGTTTTACTCAAACATGTATTTGACATTTGCCATGTGCAGGATGTAGAAATGTGAGTGCGGGCTCTGAGATGGTGAGGAAGCTGAGAGCAGAAGGGATCACCTCTGGTTCAACCTCCATCTTGCCATTAGACATGGCCTCTCTTGACTCTGTGACAGCGTTCGCTACGGCCGTACTCAACTCCCGGCCTAAAGTTCACCTTCTCATCAACAACGGTAAGCTCTGTGAGATTGTGTAGGGATGTGTCTGAGAAAGTAAATGAATAAATTCTCCAACTTTACTTCATTTAGTTTAGTTGGTTTGTGGCGATTAGGCTACGATGTTGGCGATTATTGTCGATTGATTGACTGTTAAGTCAAAACTGTTTTTGTAGGAAACAACAACTGAACCCCTTAATTTAACCAGAGGAGACAATTTACCGCGAATCACAGGCCCACATGGTGGATGCGGCACAACGACCCGGGAGTCGCTCGCGTCTCCTGATGTGCGAGCGCTTTGTCTTCTGTTTGACAATGGCTTGATTTACTCCACATGTTTGCTTTCTTGGCGGGACATTTAAACCGTTGTGGAGGTTAAGCTCCACAGGTTGTGAATGTCAAGATGCTTAACTAATTCACAGGGTGGGTATATTTGGAAGGGAAAGCAACTAAGAGTTCAGGAGCTAGTCACACAGTAACATCACTGGTACTTTATTCCAATATGAAACCACATTAGAGAGTAGATATTTTAGGGATTACAATTTAACCTAAGGGTGGACTATGTTTTAGGTTAGGTTAGGGTGATTTTGTTATTTAAACTAATTGAAATCTTATTTGGAAGTTGAATACGGTAACTATTTTAGAATTAATCCGCAGAAAACGTCCCATACTGGAACCGAATATCAGTGTTTTGTTATTTGATTTTTTGTGTTTCCAAAATCCCCTGGATTCCTTATTTGTAAGCAATCAAGATTACAATTACTTGTACTTTGAACCTGGTATGATATTGATAGGCCTATTAAACAGGCTTCTGAAACATGCTGTATAAGAAGGGGCATTATCACTTACAAGAATAGGCGTTAGTACACATATCATATTATATGTACGCCATCCTTATCTTGCAAGTGTCTAAATGTTTTCCAAAATTCCCTGTCTGTTTATTAAAGGTTTTTTTTACAGCTGAAGTTCTGATTTGCTTAAGTGCTGTAAAAAAAAAACTTGAATAAACAGACAGTAAATTTTGGAAAACATTTAGACACTTGCAAGACAAGGATGGCGTACATATAATATGACATGTGTACTAACCCCTTCTTGTAAGTGATAACCCCTTCTTATACAGCATGTTTCAGAAACCTGTTTAATATCATACCAGGTTCAAAGTACAAGGCTCATGTTAAGGTTATGTTTTGTAAACAGGGTATTTCATCAGTACCGGTACCACTATTTGATTTTTATTACTTATATCAATGGGTTATGTACGCAAAACAAAACCTAATACCAGTTATTTGGGCCACAATCATACTTTCACTAGGCACACAAATGATTTTAAATTGTAAAAAAATAAATTGTATTTCTTTTAGCAAAAGACTAGTCCACTTGGGCTCCAATATTTTAATAGATTGTCAGAAATTAAAAATTGGACTAAGCTAAAGAAATTCAAGAAACAAATAAAGGTATTTATGATTAAAGGAATTATAATTGGAAGAGAAATTTTTATTCAATTAATTAATTAATTTGTAATTAAAGTAAAATGGTGCTGTTAGTGTTATTTGGATGTAGTTGTTGTACCTAGGGTTATTTACATCCTACTTATTTTTCCTTGCCTAAATTAGATCTGACACCATTCCTTTTACACAGGCCTAATTAATAAAGAAATTGACTTGATTTGAATTTCCAGATTTAAGTTCAATTGTTTGTGTGAATGTGTAGGAATTCATTTAATGCAAATAAAAGGCTTATTTAGTTTGTTGTCTGTAAATTGTGCTTGTAATTTCTGTTGTGTATTCTAATCATTAACCTTAACACGTTCGCGGCGGCACGTCAAATGGCGGGCGTATCCCCAGTGCGGCGCAGCCCTCAGCGCCGAACAAACCCGATTGCCGCGTGTGATTGGCTTTCCAATTTCGGTCTGACGAATAGCAAATAACGTGCGGGAATGTCCTGCTTTACAACGAGAGTCGACGTAGTTCGCTAAACACCCACAGATAGCAGCACTGCTTGAAACGTAGCTGGTCCCATTGGAATTGTATTGCCAAATGGAGGGAAAAAGACGGGACAAAAAGTAGATTTTTGAGATTGCCAGACGGGGATTTTACAGGGAAATTTACTACCAACCTACACCACAACAAAATACAGTATACTATTGAGCAGTGCTGTGCGAGGTTTCAAGTTTCTAGCTCTAATCCTGACTTAAAAATAAAATCATTTCGTACTGCATTGCAGCTTGGGAGCGATCGCACCCACCAGGATGGCATTAGGGTTCCGTATGGGAGCGATCGCATGCCGCCACGAACGTGTTAAGGGTGCATTCGAAAGCAAACGCAAATGGATTTAAAGTATTTTCTGGACTGAGGAGTTTGATAATAGCATCCTGGAGAAACATTAACATCTTGTTTGTGACGATTGAAACAGCTGATTGAAAATGTATAGTCAATATTGATGTTATGGGGATTTTCAATATTTTTACACACATGATGTGTTGGCCTCTAGCTGGCATCATGTTTACTCCGTATGAAGAGACTGTGGATGGATTCGAGTCCCAGTGGGCCGTCAACTACCTCGGCCACTTCCTACTGTGCCATCTGCTGCTGCGGAGGCTGCATGAAACAGCTCAGACGGACGGAATCGCAAGGATAGTCAATGTAACATCGTGTGCACATCATGCAGCCTACCCTATCGACTATGACAACATCAACATGAAGTAAGTGTCATCCTCATACTTAGACATAGTTCATGTACAGGGTGTTTACAAATGGTCATTGGTTGGGTACTATACAAGGTAAACTACTAAACGTTTTATTAGTAAAATTATTGTTGGTTTATTAGAGACTTTGATGTATATGAATGTTAGGAGATTTCTCATGTTGATATTTATATGGGGAAATAAGAGTTGAAGAGATGTAAACAAATTTGATGTTGATGTAACTTATGAACCTTGGTTGATTTTGGATTGCTGGGGTCAAGTTACTTTCAAATCATCACAAAATGCAACAAACCTTTCTTAGGAACAAACTGGTTTTCTTCAGATTAATAAGTGAGCTTTTTAACCACTTGGTTACACAACAATAAATAAACACCATTTATTGCAAAAGTTCATAAAAAATATTATCAAATTATGGAGATTTCAGACGAATTTTATACCATTTCCAGGACAGTGATTACAGTAGAACCCCTCATATCCGGCCTTGGTTTTACCGGTCCTCTGTTTATCCGACCCCTTCCAGGAAGCCAATATCAAAATTTTTTTCTCACACCTTACAGACGTTTAGATACAAGCACTAGTCTTTGTGACTGCTCAAGTCATAAAATAAATTGTTCTCATTATTTATCTGTTTGTTTATAAATTTATTTGCTGAGTCATTATACTCAGTTGAGCTAGTAGGCCCATGACTTCCACCATGAGTAGGCCTATTATAAGGTACAATTATAAGGTACAAACCTTTAAGCCTACAGTTCACACTTTACGATCTATCAAGAATGCTTCATCCATTAATAGAGTTGTCAACTAACATTCCCATTAATAGAGTTGTCAACTAACATTCAAATAAATACACAAAGGACATAACAACAAACACAAAACATTTGAACATTTAAAGTAGCTAAGATCAACTATTGACTGGTTGCGGTACGGAGGCTGACTAATTTAATTGTTAAATGTTTTTAGCGAATTTCCCATATAGGGAATAAGCTATTACCGTAGGTCTCATGGTAAGACCTAGACCCGGGACCGATTTACTTTTTCGTTTTGAGGTCCCCAGAGGCCAAAAACACCATCCGTTCAAATTCATATATATATATATGTTTATATATGTGTCCGTTAGCGCGATAACTCGAGCAAAATTGATCCGATTTTGATGAAATTTGGTACAAACGTGTAAACCTACATTTATTCGAACGAGTTCGCGAACCAGCATAATCGGACCATGGGATCAGGGGTTTATGGGGGATTTTATGGGGTAAAAATGGGTTTTTCTCATTTTTGACCCTAAAAACTTTAAATTTCTAAATTTCTCTCTAGACCATTTTGAAGAGATTAAAAAAACAAATAATTTAGTATATTTAAGTGTTTTTGAATGTTCGTTGACTACGGAGAAAATTAAAAAAATTGTAAATTGAAAATTCCCATGTTATTCTTATGAAGAATAAATAAACTGTTCTAGTTTGCTTGTTTTTGGATATATTTTAATCAAATTTGGCAATTTGGTTTATTTCATACTAAGCTATCAATATTTCAATTGAAAAAACACACTTCAACATCTTCCCCGTAGCAGCAAACAACTACTCACTAAAATTAATGTTATTTAAATAAGAAATAAATCTGAAAATTTATAGGGAATATTTTAGTAGAAATCAAGCCGGGTAAATGGAAAATCGCTTAGTATGCAGGTTTGCTGCGACGGGGGTATTTTTGTACATTGTTAAGTCCTTTGTGTATTTATTTGAATGTTAATTGACGATTCTATTAATGGATGATGTATTCTTCATAGGAGACTTGTTCCTTATACATAGCTGTTAGTTCCATACAGACAATAATGATAAGAATTATTGATGTCAGTAATGTATGTTGATATTTGTGGACGATAGAAGATTGTTGATGAATAAGGGTCCGTTGATTTTCCCACCTCAATTGCCAATCAGAAGCAGGAAATGTTACAATGGACCAATTGTAGCTCAAGGACTTCTTATGTCAATCAAACTCCCCCTTATCTTCTAACACTTTTAAAACAAAATTAAGATTGATATGTAGAAGTAGGACAGTTTGTCTCATTTTTATCTTTACAAATATTCATTCATTCATATTTATAAAATGATGTCCAATCAATGTTGTAGAAATATTCTTAAATATTCTTGGTTTTTTTATTAAGGTGGTAAAATATTTTTAATACTAAGCCTACGTGGGCTACCGGTAACTGTTTTGATTTTTCATTGAACCCCTTGATTGATCATATTTTATAATTTAGTTAATGTCCATTAAAACAAAAGTGTACCCTAGTTAGTTTAAGGTCAAAGATTTTTTTAAATCATGAATCAAGAAAAAAATTGCATTCTCTATGCAATGTACTATAATTTATTGGTACATGATTTATGAGTAAATCGATGATGGTTTACATAGCATATATTAGGGATTCTGAGAATTGAGGTTTGTTGTCATTCCTTGACTGAAGATAGTAGGCGCCTTAAAATAAGAAAATAAATAGCAAAACCTAGAAATAATTAGAACACAGATGAAACCATTGTTGTTCGATAGTGAAAAGTATTGTGAATAACATATCAAAAGTCTCCAAAAATATCTTTGGTGGAACACCACTATTTTTCCAAAATGGCGGCCAAATCCAGTAGTTTTTTGCTTTTTATTGAAATTCTGACTTTCCAGTCAATATTGGTAAAAAGTCGTCAGTACATTTAATGTTCCTCCTGAAATTACCTTTAAAATGATACCAAATACATGTACCTACAACAAAAAATAAATCCCGTAGAAATAATAAAATATTTCAAATAAAAATATTTGTTATAAATTAATGTAATAGTCCAAGCAAACTAAAAATAACGTACGCAGGGATCGTATAAAAATTTGCAAGTAAACATTTTATGGTTTTATTTTTATTGTTGTGGTGTGCAGAGTGACATACCAAAAGTTGCAAAAAATCAGTCCACGGGAAACCCCTATATTACGGAAAAAATGGCGGCTTTTCCCAATATTGGACAAATTTTGCAAAAAAAAGATATCACATGTTTTTTGCACATTTTTCGAGATATTGACTTGGAACCACGACCGATATTTTTTGGATGGTCCGTACTTAATTTCAATAGGGGACCCTTTTTGGGCCGCCATCTTGGATCAACCATATTGGATATAAATATTTTTTAATGTGATTAGTGTTGTGACACATCATTATGAACTAGATTTCTACGCTGATTTCAATGCTGAAATCAGTTTTTTAAATAGCGTTTTACGATTTTAAGATATATAAAAACGAAAACTCTCCACCATACATTTCTTATGGACGTTTCGTACTTTGACAATTTAAAAACACATTGAAAACTACCACAGTCTAAGGTTGTACTATCAGGTTCAAGTATGGCGTGGAAATAGTTCACCAGCAGATCCAACAGATTGGGAGTGGTGTTTGACTGATGGTACATATGAATAACTTACTTATAAATAACTGCACTTATATAATGAGTGTACCTGTGTAACTTGGAAATTATATTTAGACTAGCTGTTGTACCCGTGCTTTGCAACGGGAAGAGAACACGAAATAGAAACATTTTGATCTTTACATCTGTTGATAAAATAGTTACACATAAGCCTTTTAAAAACAAAATTTTATCTTTATGGCCTTAATAAGATAGCTGTTGTCATAAATGTAAAACAATAATAGTAATGCACCCTGTTGGTAAACCTTGTAACTTTTTAATGCTATTCAATATCATAGAACCAACTTGTGTAGTTGAAACAGCTGACAAAATTCTTTTATTCCTTTTAAATACGATTACTCATAAGGTTAACATGGGAAACTCCAGAGCCACTGTGGCGGAGCCCGAAAGGACTTTTAAGATAAGAATGCGTTTATATGTTAATCGGGTATGTCAGCTATCATCATATCAAATTTCAGCCCAATCCGACCAGTATTTTTCGCGTTTACTTGTCACAAACATACATCCATCCATCATCCATATCCAAACTTTCTCATTTATAATATTAGTAGGATAAATATAGGATATGGCCTTTAACAAATTTCAACAAAACGTTTTATGGTTTTATTTTGTAGTGTTGTGCAGAGTGAAAACGGGAAAGACTCGTCATAGCTGTTCGTTCAAGTATTGACTTTTATTTTAGCTATGGATTCCTTATTGGGAGTTATTTAGAATTGGGGATAAATGTCTTTAACTAAAGACAAATTTCAAAATAACAATAATTCATTCAATAGTTCATTGAAGGTAGGCCTACATGATTCGTTTTAAATTTGTCATGTGTCATTTAATAATCAATAGAATTAAAGCCAAACATTTACTGAGTACTTTGATACCAGAACGAACTTGTTAACATATTAACAACTCGAGATATAAATCTTAAAAAAAAACTGATAAAAAAAGTTTAATTTAATTTTGTGTTGTTATGTTTTAACTATAAATAAAACAAAATGAAAGCTAACTAAAATGAAAGCTCTTTTATCACTGAATATTTTAAGGCTAGAACGAACTGCAAGCATTAATAATACCTGGAGAAAAATAATCCAAGCACATTTTCAAAGTACGATACGTCCATAACTGATGTATAGGGGAGAGTTTTTTTTTTTTAAGATATCTTAAGCAACGAAAAAACTTATTTAAAAACGGATTTCAGCATTGAAATCAGCGTGGAAATCTAGTTCATAATCATGTGTCACAACACTATAATTACATTAAAAAATATTTATATCCAATATGGCAGATCCAATATGGCTGATCCAAGATGGCGGCCCAAAAAGCGTCCCCTATTGAAATTAAGTACGGACCATCCAAAAAATATCGGTCGTGGTTCCAAGTCAATATCTCGAAAAATGTGCAAAAAAACATGTGATATCTTTTTTTTGCAAAATTTGTCCAATGTTGGGAAAAGCCGCCATTTTTTCCGTAATTTAGGGGTGTCCCATGGACTGAATTTTTGCAACTTTTGGTATGTCACTCTGCACACCACAACAATAAAAATAAAACCATAAAATGTTTATTTGGAAATATTTATATGATCCCTGTGTCTGTTTTTTAGTTGCTTGGACTATTACATTAATTTATAAAAAATATTTTTATTTGAAATATTTTATTATTTCTACGGGGTTTATTTTTTGTTGTAGGTACATGTATTTGGTATCATTTTAAAGGTAATTTCAGGAGGAACATTAAATGTATTGACGACTTTTCACCAATATTGATTGGAAAGTCAGAATTTTAATAAAAAGCAAAAAACTACTGGATTTGGCCGCCATTTTGGAAAAATGGTGGTGTTCCACCAAAGATATTTTTGGAGACTTTTGATATGTTATTCACAATACTTTTCACTATCGAACAATAATGGTTTCATCTGTGTTCTAATTATTTCTAGGTCAAACCATATATTCAGGGGCCTATAGTACGGACGGAAAAAACTTTGCAATTTCGAATGATTATGTTAAAGATCCTAACTTATCGCCAGTTGGTTAAAGTAATTATAATTTTAAGACAGAAAGGGTATACTATTTTCAAGAAAATTTTACAAGAGTGAGGTTATAACACTACTTTTTAGAATATCAATGTGTCCATGTTGGCATCAAAAAATCCTCAACACTGTCAAAGTATTTCTGCATCAGCCACTCTTCCAAGATCATAAATTATAGGATATAGCGTAGGAACTGGGAGGATGCTTATTCAAAAGTCTTACCTGATGCTAGAAAGCGTTATTGAGTCTTGCGTAGTCTATCAAAATCTGCATCAATCATCATACTAATATTACAAATGTGAAAGTTAGTGTGTTTGTTTGTTTATTTGTTTGTTTGAAGTTCAATCACACATTAACTACTGGTCGGATTGTGTTGAAATTTGGTATGATGATAGCTCACATTCCCGATTAACATATAGACATATTCTCACCTCAAAAATCCTTTCGGGCTCCGCCCCAGCGGCTCTAGAGTTTCCCATGTTAACCTTATGAGTATTCATATTTAAAAGGAATTAAATAATTTTGCCAGCTGTTTCAACTACACAACTTGTTTCTATGATATTAAATAGCATTAAAAGGTTATACGGTTTACCAACAGGGTGCAGCACAATTAGTTCTTTATACATTTATGACAACAGCTAATTTGAACCAAGCAGCAACAAAAACCTGAGTGTGAGAACTTTATTTCTTTCTATTATTTAGGTGAAGTGGTAGAACATTATGGCTATGGTAGATATTCTATATACTATAGTATACCGTAGATTATAGTAAACCAAATTTTCTCAAAACGTGTCCTCTCTCATTGCAAATGCAAAGCCCGAGTATTTAACTACAATAAGCATTGTATACCAACCCCGTACGAAGGACGGGTACTCAGCTAGTGTACTTATATGCAGGAAATCTAGATCGGTTATCCGCTACATAAGCCCTTAATTTTGATAGCGTGTAGTTCCTTTAGTTATGGTTAAATCCTTTAATTTAAATAAGAGCACTGAAACAAGTCATCCGACATCAAATTAATCGGTTAACGACACAAACACACACAACTATAATTCATAAACCAATTCAAGAGGAAAAAATGAATTAAACTAGTGTTTTAGTCATTGTTAACCAGTTTATACCTTTCAGATACAACTTCATAACACAAGCAGCGTACGCTCAGTCCAAGGCAGCCCAGCTGATGTTCACCCTACATTTAGACCGAGCCCTGCGCAAGATGGATTCTCAAGTAAGGGTGGTGGCTGTACACCCCGGCATCGTCAACACTGATTTGTTCAATGGAACCTACATGAAGATAATCATGCCATGGGCTCCTGGACTACTGTTCAAGGTAATCAAACCCTCTGAATATCCTAGATACATTATGAGAGGATGTCAGAGTTAGTTTTTATTATCATGGGAGGAACTATGGTTTACCATAAACCCTCATTAATCCCAGACTCATTGGGGTTCCAAGTTCACCGGAAAAGTTGAAAATAAATTCTGTTTTCGTTAGGAAGAAAAGCAGCACTATTTTGGGACATTTAGGTTTGTGTATAAAAGCGTGAATATTGTATTCTAAATTTTAAAATACACATAGTATTTTCTAAATTGCCTTGTAGTGTGACATATAATTGCTGCGTATATAATGCTTTCCTCATTTAGTTTAATGACGTTTTTATAATTTGCTGTCAGACGGATGTCTGGATTAAACAAAGTATGTCACAGGTTCTGGATTTATATGGGATTATTGTAGCGTAACATTAACCTTGAATAAAGTAAGAATCTTGGTGTTTACAATTATCTGTTCAACCCAAGAAATAATGAAGATTTTGTTAATAAATTTTGCATGTTATAGTTTTAATTATCAACAAAATGGTACAACCCTCAATGCTGAAAAAAATATAGGAATTTTTGTGATTTTACCATTAAATATCATTGTTACTCCAATCGCTCACTTTTATAAAGGTTGATAACAGACAAAATTGCAAATAAAATAATATTTGAAAAAAATATTGAAAAAAGGGTTAAGAAACATCACGGGAAGATGAAATATAAAAGCAAATATATTGTGAACCTTAGGTTTTCTGTTCAACTGACTGAAACTCAACTCTTAGTTTAGTCTCCGCTTTTTCTATAATATGTTCCTAAGTTAAGTGCCCTACAAAATCTAATGATAGAAAAACATTATACTCCTTTAAAGCATTTCAAAATGTTCATTGTTGTTTACCGTGACCTCATTTTAGCGAATTTCCCTATAGGGCTATTACCGTAGGTGGCACAGTAAGACCTAGACCCGGGACCGATTTACTTTTTCATTTTGATGTCCCCAGAGGCCAAAAACACTATTCGTTCAAATGTTTATATATGTATATATATATAGACTTATATATATATACGAGAATTTTATATATTAGATATATATACGTCCGTGAACGCGATAACTTGAGTAATTTTTGTCCGATTTTGATGAAATTTGGTTTAAAGGTGTAAAGCGGGATAAACTTGAATGAGTTCGCGAACCAGCACGATCGGACCATGGGAACGGGGCTTTACGGGGGGTTTTATGGGGTAAAAATTGGTTTTTTTCACTTTTGACCCTCAAAACACAAAATTTCCCAATTTCTCGGGGCTTTACGGGGGGTTTTATGGGGTAAAAATTGGTTTTTTTCACTTTTGACCCTCAAAACACAAAATTTCCCAATTTCTCGTTAGACCTTTTTTAAGAGCTTAAAAAAACAAATAATTTAGTATATAAAAGTATTTTTGTTCCAATATTAGTAACGGAGAAAATAAAAAAAATTGTAAATTTAAAATTCCCATGTTATTCTTATGGAGAATATTGTCAAATGTTGTAGTTTGCTTGTTTATGAATATATTTTGAACAAACTTGGCAAATTTATTTATTTTGTACTAAGCTATCAATATTTTACTCAAAAACACACTTTATTAGTTTCTTTGTAGCAGCAAACCTAGGTACTCGTTAAACCTAATGTTATTAAAATATATTTAACTGAAAATCAATTCAGACAAATGGAAATTCGCTTAGTCCGCAGGTTTGCTACGGCGGGGGTATATTTAACTTTAGTCTCATCAAGGCAATAACTGTTTCAGTCAGCTGAGGAAGGTGCGACTACAGTCATGTTTGCCGCTCTCCATGCTAAGGGCGGAGACTACATCAGCAACGCTAGATCAGCTTCCATCTCAAAATTGGCTCAGGATCAGCAAGCACAAGTCCAACTGTTTAACCACTCGAAGCGTACATTGGGCATCTTGTCCTTCGGTGGTCTTGAGTTATAAACAAGCGCTTCTCAACCGTAACAGTATTTCCTATTTGCATTTAATTATTTAAGTCTTTTATTTATTGTGTACTTAATTCTGAGTCACTGTTACTTTCTGTTATAGCTTTAAGTGGTTTTTTAGTTCTGCTAGGTTTAAATATTTTGCAATGAATGGTTGTAGCATTAAAAGACTTTTTTAAGTTTTCTAAGCATTAAAAGTATCTATTTAAGTTTTTGTTTTTAAGTTATCACAAACAATGATGTTATGTGATAAAAATAAATGTATATTTTTTCAATATGTGATTGTTTCCTCAAATTTCCCACTTGTTGATTCTTATTATGACTTATAATATAGTTAAACTCAGTTTCTTGTTGTAATCTAGCAAATAAAAATCATATTTCAAACACATTTTTCCATTCACTTCTGTCAACTGGCAACGATTGTCGCCAGAACGCAGGTTATACTTTGTTGGAGTCGTCTACCAATTGTTGTAAAGCTTGATCGCCCAACACAAATTTGCCAATAAGCTGATAAAGACTGAATTTAAAGTATCACTAGTTTAAAATTACTGATATGAATAGCAGTGGAGTGTAGTAGGAGTTTACGCAACGATCGCGTAAAGATAGTGTTGTTTAGACTATTTACGTGAGATGCGTACACTACTTTACCTATGACAGTTTTTAAATTACTAACAACATTACTGTTTTCGTTTATACGTTTTAACCTATCATTGCCACTGACAGTAATGCTACAAATCATAGTACCAAACACTAACTGTACCACTCATTAACAATTAAATGGGCCTTAACAGCTGACTAGTTGAAGTTCGAAGCATTACAATTTTACTTCTTTCCTCTCAATCCTTGAACCTCTTTGTTCCGTTACTTGTGTTGAAGTAAAACAATGCTGTTAAGTTATTAAACAATGATGTTAAGTGAATCTTTCCAATTCTAAGAACTTAACTGAAACGGCTACTTTAAAAAAACAGTCGTAGGTAAAGTAAATAACCACATTGCTCTTGTCAGCCTTGTAATAGTTGGCTTGATCAAGACTGGAGTTCTTTGGAGACTTTAGACTGCACACCCTGGTATCATGTTATATAGTACGATGTTAGGATAGTGAGGTATATTTAAATTTTTGTAAAAATGAACTCTTTTAAATAAAATGTTTTCTTCAAGCTAGCTCTTATAAACAATTATAAACCAGTGAATAAAGAATCATGAGACATATCAGCTATATATTTATCACTTATCAAAATAAAGTATCAAAGACAAAAATCAAGCGTAAAAGGTTAAAAAGTGCTGCAAACACTGGTATGATATTAGTATACAGCTCCATCACTGAGAACATCGTAAGGCACTTCAGCTGGTGGAGGGTTTCTCTTTTTCAGAAGCTGTCGTTGAGTGTAGACTATAGTGAGAAGTACTCCCAACATAACCCACAACAACCAGCCGAGCGAGTGGAAGATGGTGTCCCAGTGAGGTAGGTTCTCTCGGACCCATCGTCTCGCTCCGGAAAACTTCTCGTGTACTGAGTCCCAACGATGTGAACATGAGCTGTCCAACTCATTTTCTATCAGATGTTCCACATGAGAACCATCCAAACACCTGTGAATATCACAAAAAATAGTATAAAAATATTCTTTGAAATTAATTGTTGGTGATGGTGAGTTAATGTTGTTCAATTGTTTATTGCTGACATTTTCCATCTTGATGGTAAAAAAACAATACACAACGTTTCGGAATCTGTAATCTGATCCCCTCCTCAGGTGAACAAAAATGTTACCAACACATTACAACTAACAATACACTACTCTCTGTAGTGTATTCCAACTTAGGTTGGGTGTTTGTGTATTGTTAGTTGTAATGTAGAGGCGCAAGGGATACTCGCTCTGCCTCATCTACGTTGCGCATTCCTCGTCACAGAACAACTGTATATAATAAATCATTTGTAGTCACAGCATGCCGCCTTTGGAACTCCGTACCCGATGCCATTAAATTCATAGTAAAACGATCCCGACTGAAGGCGAGACTGAAAGAATATTATCTCAACCGGATGGTAGTGGCGTGGCAGGATGATGTGCATTAGGCCTAGGTGCAGCAAAGAGTGTATGTGACTGTATGCTAGGAAAAGAAATGTATGTTATGTTATTTTATTTTTTATTATGTTTCGAAATGTGTATTTGTATTTTACTTTTGTTCGTGACATGTATTATTAATATTAATATTATTTATTATTACCATTATTATTTAGAGGTTAACTGTAAGAAAAGACCATGAGGTCCTAAGTTCGCCTCAATAAAGAAGCATTTTCATTTCATGTGTTAGTTAAGTTTCTTCACCTGAGGGCAGGATCAGATTCCAGATCCCGAAACGTTGAGTATTGTTTTTTACCATCTTGATGGAAAATGTCCGCAATAAACCTTTGAAGAACAATATAAAAATATGGTAATATAATTTTAACTATTGGTTTGTGGTAGGGCAACATCTACTTTACAAGGGCTATCCAGAAAGTGACAGACGTTTTGGCCTGGCACTGCTGAAGTGGACAGGTCTAGGGCGCATTTTATTTTGTCCTCATCTATTTTAAAACAAAAACTTGTGAATAGATGAATCGAATCCTTGTTCTTCAGAAGAAAGCCATAAGAACCCTCGCCAACCTTGTCCCACCACAGACTTGCAGACTAGCTTTCGCAAACCTAGGAATCCTCACAGTGGTGTCTCTCTACATACTTGAAACCATAAAGTATGTGGATGAAATAAACCCCCCAAGAAATCAAGAACTGCACCACTACAACACCCGTCATGGCTCCAAATTTGCCCTACCAGTTCACCGAACAACTCTTTGGGAAAAAAACCTTCCTACACCGGCTGCAAACTGAGGAACCATCTACCTGACTACCTGAGAGACCTGACTGGCAACAAGCTACACCAGGAGTTGAATAAGTGGCTAATCGCAAGACCCTTCTACACAGTAAAGGAATTTTACGAAAATTATGGAAATTAACACATACAATTCACTATTGTATTGACACTATTGTAATTCTTAACGAATTAACAATAAAGAATATTGTATTGTATTGTATTGTTAAATGAGCTTTGGAACAAAATTTAAGAATTTCTTAATGTGGAATCATGTACTTAGACAGCCTAAACTAGAGACAGATGTGCGTTATCTATACTAATATATTGAGTAACAGGGTTGCCAAGCGACAACTGTTGTCAGGCTGGCCTGTTGAACTCGCCGGGTTGCTTGGCGACCTCAGCAGATAACATCGAAGTAGTTCTGACAAAAACGTTCTTGTGAATAATATGAGTCGTTAGTTGTTGTGTCGTTGTGTGCAAGATACAACTTGATTATTCAACTTGTTTGTGGAAGTCGCCAATCAACAAATAAAATCCAAACCTACTTGATTAACTTAGGATCCAACCTATGAAGATAGGTATAAAATACTCACGTAACGTTGGCAAAGTCTTCAACTTGCACCCTATCCATGTCAACAAAGTCCTTTAAGTCACATCCGCACATAAACTTGTTGCCACTTAAGTAGACGTTGATTCTCGGCTGGTATGAGCCTGTGAATTTGTACACACTGGGGACTTCACTCAAACTGTTATGGTCCAAGTAGATCTGGAAATAAAAACTGTGTCAGCTATTTATGGTTATTATTTACAGTTTAGTTTTTCTAAAGAGAAAAAAACTCAAAAGCATACTGTTTTAAACTTAAACTGGGGTGAGCAGAACCTGCATGAAACGTCGAAGCCCTCGGTAAGGACTTATCTTATAGATGAGATACACTAAAAGAGGCAACCACAGCTAAGTCAAAGCTTTAATTTAAAGAAAGGTTTATACTTGAGATATTGTCAAGTAATCCTAATGTTGGTACCTAAAGCCACTAACCACAATTTCTACATCTAAAAACTTAACTGCTTACACATCTGTCAACTGGCAACAGATTTCAAAAGGGGTTGACCCCCTTCCCACAGATACCTAATCATATAAGGTGACATATACAGGGTGTCCCGGAACTCTCACCAATATTTTAGGGCATTGATCCTGGGTAAGAAACGTACCTAAATATCATATTTAAATTGTCCGGAAGTCCTTAGTTACTCACTCAGCCGCCATTTTGGTTTTTTCAGTTATTAATTTTTTTCTTAAGAATGGTTAAACATACGAAATGGAAACTTTGCACAAACATTTATGACAACTAGACAAAGCTTCAAAAAAATTATCACGATTTTTAAAATTCACAAAACAAAATGGCGACCATTTAAATTTTTTGTAAAATCAATAGTTTTTGAGTTATTTAAGAAAGAAAATTTTAAATGGCCGCCATTTTGTTTTATGCATTTTAAAAATCTTCATAATTTTTTTGTAGTTTTGTCTAGTTGTCATAAATGTTTGTGCAAAGTTTCCATTTCGTATGTTTAACCATTCTTTAGAAAAAAATTAGTAAATGAAAAAAACAAAATGGCGGCTGTGTGAGTAACTCAGGACTTCCGGACAATTTAAATATGATATTTAGGTACGTTTCTTACCCAGGATCAATGCCCTAAAATATTGGTAGAGAGTTACGGGACACCCTGTATTTGAGAGGAGGCATGGATTATCCTTCACTTTGTTTTCAACTACTGTACTACTAGGCTGGGATACAAAAGTTGCATAGGGTTGGGCATGTTAGAATAGTAGTGGATGTAGTAAAGAACAAGACATTGGCCTCAGTTGTAAACTAGTTCGCTTGGTTATAATAAGTGCTAGGCGGAAACTATGATTGTGGACAGAAATTGCATATAAATCTATTTGATAAATCGCCCTATGGTATAACAAATAGTAGGATGTAACCCGAACTGTAAAATACCTTTACCTAAGACCAGTTTTTAAACTAGCCGTTTCAGTTCAGTTCTTAGAATTGAAAAGATTTACTTAACAGCATTGTTTTACTTAACAACAAGGGTAACGGACCAATGAGGTTCAAGAATTGAGAGGATAGAAGTAAAATTGTAATGATTTGAACTTCAATGAATCAGCTGTTAGGACCAATTTATTTGTTAATGAGTGGTGCAATTAGTGTTTGGTACAATGATTTGTTGCATCACTGTCATTGGCAGTTAGAGGTTATAAACGAAAACATAACCTCTCTAGGAAGTTATGAATAGTGATTGTTAGTAATTAAAAAACTGTCGTAGGTAAAGTAGTGTACGCAATTCGCGTAAATAGTCTTAACATTTAACAACACTCGTAGAAGTTTTAAGTTTAAGGCACTCACCAAGGCCTTTAATTCTTTGTTTGAAGTTCATTGTTGGTGATGGTGAGTTAATGTTGTTCAAAGGGTTATTGCGGACATTTTCCATCACGAATGTAAAAAACAATACACAACGTTTCGGGATCTGGAATCTGATCCCGTCTTCAGGTGAAAAAACTTAACTAACACATTACAACTAACAATACACAAACGCCCAACCTAAGTTGGAATACACTACCGAGAGTAGTAGTCAAAAAAATATGCACTGTAAGCAGTCAAGTCATGATACAACATGCAATTAATAACAAATCACTATAATCTATAAAAGGTTTACGTACAAAAAACTCACGCAATGGAACACTAACAACACGTACGCTATGACTCCACCAATGAGACTGAACCAACATGGCTGACCAATCGGAAACACGGAGTCAACAGAAATGGCTTCCGGTCCCTGGAAAAGTAAAACCAACAAAATGGCGGAGCGATGTACGATGCCGCAAGATGGGTGTTAATTATGTTTATTCCTATCACGAGTTTTACTACGAGTTAACATAACGTGCGAATTTTGAGGAGAACTCGTTATTTCCCTATTTATTGAAAAATTAAGTTCCCTATCCTTTAGTTCCTTGTTCAAAATGGGTAGCCAAAGTGGCCTGATTTCAACCGATGACTGACTGATTGGTTGGTCTGCTAATTTAATGTATGAGGCTTCAATGAGTTTACGTTTGAAAAAATGAGGTTCCTTATGGACAATTTTTGCCTCTTCAAAATTCATACGATGATTTTCGGACCAGCAATGATGAGCGATCTTAGATTTTTCCACTAAACCTTTTTTGGTGTTTTCTCTGTGTTCTTTGATTCTAATGTTCAACGGTCTTTTTGTCTCGCCATAGTAAGGCCTGGAACAATCATTGCAATTTATTCTGTAAACACAGTTTTTAGTATCCTGAGTGTCATTTTTGGATTTTGTTTGACGAGACTCTGCCTAAGTGTGTTTTGTGTCCTAAATGCTGTTTGCACATTAAATAGATAGGGCTACGCGTGAACCTTTACAAAATCGCAAGGAAAAACTCGTCCACATGTCAATCCCGTATGTGTCAGGACTGTCGGAAAAAATCAGAAGGGTTGCTAGGAAATTTAATGTGCAAACAGCATTTAGGACACAAAACACACTTAGGCAGAGTCTCGTCAAAACAAAACCCAAAAATGACACTCAGGATACTAAAAACTGTGTTTACAGAATAAATTGCAATGATTGTTCCAGGCCTTACTATGGCGAGACAAAAAGACCGTTGAACATTAGAATCAAAGAACACAGAGAAAACACCAAAAAAGGTTTAGTGGAAAAATCTAAGATCGCTCATCATTGCTGGTCCGAAAATCATCGTATGAATTTTGAAGAGGCAAAAATTGTCCATAAGGAACCTCATTTTTTCAAACGTAAACTCATTGAAGCCTCATACATTAAATTAGCAGACCAACCAATCAGTCAGTCATCGGTTGAAATCAGGCCACTTTGGCTACCCATTTTGAACAAGGAACTAAAGGATAGGGAACTTAATTTTTCAATAAATAGGGAAATAACGAGTTCTCCTCAAAATTCGCACGTTATGTTAACTCGTAGTAAAACTCGTGATAGGAATAAACATAATTAACACCCATCTTGCGGCATCGTACATCGCTCCGCCATTTTGTTGGTTTTACTTCTCCAGGGACCGGAAGCCATTTCTGTTGACTCCGTGTTTCCGATTGGTCAGCCATGTTGGTTCAGTCTCATTGGTGGAGTCATAGCGTACGGTGTTGTTAGTGTTCCATTGCGTGAGTTTTTTGTACGTAAACCTTTTATAGATTATAGTGTTTTGTGATTTGTTATTAATTGCATGTTGTATCATGACTTGACTGCTTACAGTGCATATTTTTTTGACTACTACTCTCGGTAGTGTATTCCAACTTAGGTTGGGCGTTTGTGTATTGTTAGTTGTAATGTGTTAGTTAAGTTTTTTCACCTGAAGACGGGATCAGATTCCAGATCCCGAAACGTTGTGTATTGTTTTTTACATTCGTGATGGAAAATGTCCGCAATAAACCTTTGAACAAGGCCTTTAAATTACTACTTGTGTCGTTAACACTGTCTTTACACGATCGTTGCATAAAATACTATAAAATAAAACAGAAACATTCAGTTTTAATCAGCACACAGTAAATGTCACCCCTTAAACTTGACATTAATACAGGTCTTGGAATTTCTAACACAATGAGAAGTCTACTAAAATTATTTAAATTCAGTTAAAACTTTATAGTACATTCTTCTTTCACCAATATACTCACAGTTTCCAATTTAGCCATAGATTCCAGTGGGTCGTCCTGCAACACCTCCATGTTGTTATAGGACAAGTCTAGAGAGCGTAGGTTGGTGAGAGCGGAGAGCTGTTGTCCGTCGAGATACCGGATACTGTTGTGACTCATGTTGAGATGTTCTATTGTCACAATTTTAACCACTCTGCTCGGAATGTCATAGAAATGGTTATGGCTTAAATCGAGGGACTCTACTGATGGAAACGCCAGCTCTGATGAAGAAACGTGATTTTTCAAACCACAGTTGGTCATGGATAGTTTCTGTAAAAACATACGTGGTTCAAAACATAATTACATTTTTAATGTAAGCCTCTGAATTACGTTGAATATATAAATTTGTGTAAATACCCTGATTCTAAGTAATCCAAATTGTTCCAAAGACAAACAACTAGTTTCGACTTCACGAAGTCATCATCAGGCGTCCAGGGGATGTCAAAATCGCTTCATTAGAAATCGTTGATACACATATTGTACATTTACACACCAACACGAACATAGTTTTGAAAAAAGGTACATTTACAATGATTGGAAGACAAAAAAATGGTATCTTAGAGATGATGCGTCACAACCGGATGTCTTGAATTCTAGACAAGATCTAGACGCCACTCCATCGGGACGTGACGCACGGTGTCAATAGTTAAGTTTAAGAGTTGTTTGTTTAGGTGGCTTGAGATATCAAGATATCAAAATTGTAGAAATTCAATGAGTAAGGTGGTTGATTTTTACTTTCTCCCCCTAAACAATATGGAGAAAGTATTGTTTTCGTCAACATTTTTGAGTTTGAGTGGATATATCCGTTTTGGGTCAGTGATGTCTGTCCGTATGTGTTCCGATTTCAATGAAATTTGGTATGTATTACTAATCCATGGTATCTCAAGGAGTTTTTTTTTAATTTGATGAAATTTTGATTTATGACAGTGATTTTTCCATAAAAATCCATAAATAAAGGAATAATCAAATTTTCTCTAAAACGGCCCCATAATTCTTTAAATTCTGAACAACATATTACCAACCCCGTTCAAAAGTTATTGTAACTATTGTTATTTTCCTATAAAATAACAGAAAATCGGATTTTAAAAAATCGCTTTTGATTAAAATTTCTATTTTATGGTCCTTATAGGCCTAATTATAAACAAAATAGTGCAACAATTGCTGTAAAAATTACGGATTAAAAGTTATTGTATCTTATGTTATTTTCCCATAAAGTAGGCCTAACGGGAAATCAAATTTTTAAAAAAAAGCCGTTTTTTGATTAAAGTTAGTATGTTATGGTCCTTATAATTCTAAACAAAAAATAGTGCAACCCCCCATTGCTGTAAACATTACGGTTCAAAAGTAAATGCAACTTTTGTGATTTTACTATAAAATATGCCCCCACCCCTTACCCATGATAAATGTTATTGACTAGCTAATGGGAGAAAGTATGTGTCAGATTACGCATACCCTTTATTATCTTATCTCATAAGAAATTTAAGGGCTTTCCCACATACAAGGTGCGATTTGCATCAGTTTTTGCAAAATCCTCAGTTTTCATTTCTGGTCAATCCAGAATAGTTAAATTACGTTCCATTTGTGACCAGTTAAAAGTATTTCAATGTTTAGACAACTATATTTTTACCCCATAAAACCCTGAACTCGTTCAAATAAATGTATGTTTACACGTTTATACCAAATTTAATCAAAATTTGATCATTTTTGCTTGAGTCATCAAGCTAACGGACACATATATAAATATATTATATATATGAATTTGAATGGATAGTGTTTTTGGCCTCTGGGAACCTCAAAACAAAAAAGTAAATCGGTCCCGGGTCCAGGTATTACCATGAGACCTAGGGTAATAGCTTATTCCCTATATGGGAAATTCACTATAACACCTAGAGTAAAAAATGCTCTTGCCCATCCCTTCCTGCAATTTACTTTAATATTCATCCACAATGAAATATTTATAATTTGTTGTAAATCAAAATATAGATAACCCTAAGAACTGTTTTACTTTGACTCTCACTCTGAAGTAGGCTAACCACTATTGCTAAATGTCACAGTGGGAATGGCCAATTAAGACTTATCAGGAAAGCTCACCTGATAATGCTCTTATCTATATGAATCCCAGTCAACTTCAGGGAAACAAACATAGGAAATTTCGCCAACTTTCAAATCATAATAACAAAGCTACCTAGATTCCATTCCCTTCATTCAAAAAATTTAGATGGTTGGAGGGGAAGCACCCCCACTAAGTTTTTGCTTAATTTATATGTTGCAGCGGATTAAAGTTTTGGCAAACCTCAGCTGTTGAGCTATTGTTTTAAACTGGAGTCTAAACCTTCGCTAAATCATCACGATGTTGTCCCCTGGCGCTGCGGAGTGGGGGAAATGATTCTCCCTCCACCTCCCCTCTAGATGGCGTCCAAACAAGCCCGCGTTGTTTTACATGCATATCATATACCTATGCTGCAGTTTTTCAATAAGTTAAAAAATGAATATTTATAAAATTAAACTGTCATAAACTAACCTAACCAACCAAACATGCTGATTATATAAAAAAATATATAAAATAATAATCGAATGAAGGTTTACTAATCGAAAAAATAGTTCTGTTCATAAAATAAAATTATAAATGCCTTGAATTCAATTTTAGAATTTATTAATTATAAAATTAAACTGTCATAACCTAACCAAACCAACCAAACTTGCTGATAATGAAAAATCGAACAAGGTTTACTAATAGAAAAAAATAGTTCTAAAATTATAATAGCTCAAATTGAATTTTATAATGTTTTAATTAACAAATTAAACTGTCATAACCTAACCAAACTAACCAAACTTGCTGATAATGCAAAAAGCTAGTGCTACCGAGAGGATTCGAACCTGGTACCTTCAGATCCTCAGCCCGGCACGTTATCCATTAGACCACCGAGGCCGGTGGCTACTATCCGTATCGCTGCGGTAATGGTGTTCCCTCAGCCAATAGAAATAGAATGCTTTGCTTCCCCCACTCCGCAGTGCCAGGGGACAACATCGCGATGATTTAGCGAAGGTTTAGACTCTAGTATTGTTTTAAAGATAGGATCAAGTGGAGGGTAAAGATTTCTTCCCCTAAAACCGCCTAAATTCTGTGAACGGAGTAGGCCTCTTGTACAATTCTTGGCACATTAAATAATTTGACAAACTAACCATTACAAATTTTTACAAATTAATCTTTGGCCTTAGGTTGCTGTACTTCATCACTGGGATTATATTATATAAATTTAATGGCCCTGTTTAAAAATATCGTAAATCTTAATCTGAAACACAGATTATCTCCCTCCCTGCAGTCATTTTACGCTCGCTGTGTTTATACTTGGCTTAAAATACATAATCCCAAGTGTGTGCCCCTGTCTTAAAAATAATTAAATTGGATATTTTATACCGATTGCCCAAGTATTATTAAATTGCCCAAGGTTATTTATTACTTGTTTAGTTTCATAGCTTTTTAATATTCTGAATTCTTTATTTCACAACTTTATGGCATAGGTCTAAGTGGATTTCTAAAAGGTTCGGATATACATTTTAAAATGCATCTAGAATTTCACTAAGCATGCAGGTTTGCTGCAGCTAGGGTATATTTAAACTTGCTGGGTAGCTGAGTGGTTATAGTGCTCGCCTAGCAATCAAAAGGGTCCTGGATCGATCCTGGAAGTCAGTAGCTTTTTGAAGGTTTGCCACTGGACGCTGCTATTCCTGATCATTGCGCTTTTAATAAAAAATTCTGGCTAATGAAACAGCTGATCTTAGTCAGTAAAAACAGACTTTAGGTGCTGTTACACAGATCACCTCACTCCATTCTACACTCATCCTTCACTCATATTTGAATAAAAAAACGCACCTAGGTGATGTCCCCATCTCAATTGATAATAATACTTTGTGTGAGGTGGTGTATTAAAAGTGTCTGAGGATAATTTTTGGCATGTTTTGTTTATGTATGATATTTTTAGGTTAATTTAGGGCAAAAATGTCCTTTGTTAACCATACCTGAGGCATTTAGCAGGGGCTATATTAAACAGCAACCACGCTTTAAAAATTTTGTAAGTTTTTCCTATTTTCTCAATTGCTCAAGAGGCCAAACCTCAGCAAACATTTCTTAATCTACGTTCTTACCTTGAGGCTAAGCAGACGGAGCAGCTCGAAGCATGTGTTCTCTCTATTGATGGGGTCTTCTAAGTAGAGTCGGTTGTAGTCGAGCCGCAGTTCCCTGAGGCTGTACTCCATCTCCATCGGCCAGACTCTCGGAGGCAAAGTGGACACTCTGTTGTGGCTTAGGTCGAGCCGTGCGACGCTGGCAAGCACCGTCTCATTCAGGCTGTGCAGAATCTTCATCACGTCTCTACCTGTCCAACATGGTATAGTGGTCAATTTATTAGGCCTAACTGTTGTTGTTTGTTATGAAAGTATGGAAAATGTATTTATATACGGAGCTAAATTTGAACGTTGTTTTTTGCAAAGGTTATACATATGCTAATTAACACAAGTATATTTCAGATCCCATTGTTAAGTCTGAAGCTTGTTTTTCAAATAGTTCATGTTGGTGACACTAAGGGCTAGTGTTGAAAACATTTTTTTCCATTATTTTAAAGTTAATTTTATGATTTGTGCTCTACTGTTTGATCATAACAAAGGAACAAGTTATGGTTTATGATTAGATGAGGGCTTTGCCTTTTATAAGTATAGATAGTCTTATTTGGTTAAATAAGGTTTTCAATAACTGAAATAACAAGAACAAATTGTGAACAAAAATCAATCTTAGCGGCTCATGACGGAACTAACAATAACATTTTCTTCTGCTGAAAATCCATAAGGTTGACAAATCTACTAAGGGAGTATGTTTAATTTATGATTTTAAAATTCTGCATTAGAGTTTTTTTCAACACATCTTAATCTTTGAGATAGGAAATTCTGGCTTAATCAAGTTGCCAGCTTGAACTGCAGCTCGGACAGTTTTCACATTGTTTGTCCAGTCATTTGAATGACCAAGTAGGCTTAGTATCCAACACAAAAACAACCAAACACTCAAATGGGCCAACTCCACTTACCATTTATATTTATCCTAGTAAATTTCAACAAAAACAATTTTTAAGCTCTGTCTAACTAGTACTGCTATCTGGTGATGAAGTTAAGAACTCCTATTGAATTTACCAGTGTTGTTAGTGCAGCAAACTGTTAGGAATTAATGATTAATGACAGAGGAGCTCTGGCCTGACAGAGGCAATGGTTCAACCATTTGGTCATTTCTGGTGTGTAAAATAAGAAGAGTTCATTTCGCTGCAGCAGAGCATGGTGCGGAGAGGCCCTTTTAAAATAAATGGTGCACATGGTTCTGTTGGTATTTGACAGGATGAGTAGATTTTTAAAAACTTACTACTCAAATATACTGTTTGCTAACTTTTGATCGATTCTAATTGAGTGTGTGCGAGTGGTTAGGTTAGGTTGGATTGATTAGGTAAGGTTATAAAAAAATAAAAATATATATATAGGCTAAAAGTTTTATTTCATTTTCGGAGTTCATTTATTTTATGAAGACGACCTCGACCCCTATATCTGTGATTTTGACGCGGTGTCACTAGCACTAGCTACGCTAGTGTTCTGGATTTATTATGTTGGCCTGGGGTAGTAGGGACAAGGAACATACTACTGTACCAGACTGTATTTTAAACTGCGGCCTCGTGTCAGAGTTCCAAACCCTCGCTAGCGTCGGCTTATGAGGGTCAACCCCTTGGCACAACCCGTTGGACAGGAAATTAAAATCTGACACTGTCAGAAAACCAATGCGGCCGTGAATTGCTGTTACTTTACAATAATGCATGTTTTTAATAATTTTGGGTTTGTTATTTATAAATAAAATAACAACGTATTCTCTGTGATGTATTCTCATCTTAATAAATCACTTTTGTTCTTGACATTGTATACTATATAATATGACTTTTACCATTGATTATTTATATAAAAATATATGTTACTCACCATTCAAATCAAGACCTGAGAGGTCAAGAGTTTTGCGATGGAACTGAGAGTCTTCATGATTGGCGTAGAACAGTCTCTGACTAAGGTCTATGGGAAAATTCTTCTCTGTAGTGGGTGCATTCGTGGTTGTTGATGGGGTTGTAGTAGTATTCTGTAGATTATATCCATCTAAAGGTTTTGATTCAGGCTGTTTTTCATCAGGAGATCCCAAATTAATTACTCTTGATTCTCCTGGTCTAATGAAGATTGTAATTTCTTCTTCTTTGAGAGTAGGTTGTGGTTGTGGCACAACACCCCACACAAGTCCTACAATTGTAAGTAGGACGAATACTACTTTCTGAAACATTTTGTAATGTAACTATTAAAATAATGTAAAGAATAACCAATGATTGTTAAATTTAAAGGTCTTTCATTTACAAAACATTATCATTCCCATCATAGTAAAGTTGATTGTTAAAACATCTAGAAATAAAATATTTATAAAAGTTCAGGTAGTACTTACGAGACAATAGTAAAATTTTAAAGTTTAAAAAAAGATAGGGCTGATATTATTATTTCAACAAAAACGATCGTCTCTTGTTTACAATCTAAATCTGGTTAAAAATTAACTAAAGGCAATCAGCTGTTAAATTAGAATCAACATGTTTAAACTGTTATAAGAAAGTTGGTGCACGCATCTTTGGATCTGTTAACACGTTCGCGGCGGCATGGGAGCGATCACTCCCATACGGAACCCTAATGCCATCCTGGTGGGTACGATCGCTCCCAAGCTGCAATGCAGTACGAAATGATTTATTTTTAAGCCAGGATTAGAGCTAGAAACTTGAAACCTCGCACAGCACTGCTCAATAGTATACTGTATTTATTGTGGTGTAGGTTGGTAGTAAATTTCCCCGTAAAATCCCCGTCTGGCAATCTCAAAAATCTACTTTTCGTCCCGTCTGTTTTCCTCCATTTGGCAATAAAATTCCAATGGGACCGGTTATGTTCCAAGCAGTGCTGCTATCTGTGGGTGTTTAGCGAACTACGTCGACTCTCGTTGTAAAGCAGGACATCCTCGCACGTTATTTGCTATTCGTCAGACCAAAATTGGAAAGCCTATCACATGCGGCAATCGGGTTTGTTCGACGCTGAGGGCTGCGCCGCAATGGGGATACGCCCGCCATTTGACGTGCCGCCGCGAACGTGTTAAAGTATTCACTTTATGAACCAAAGGCTAGGAGTGAGAAGCCCTAAAGGAATTAGCTTTTTAATTGCTATCCATCTCTTTGCTTGATAATAAGCTTTAAAATGACACAATAATTGTAAGAATTTGTTACGTTGGACAGATGAAAAAGGGACATTAGTTACACATAAAAACCTTATGTAATAAGTGAGTTAGCCTACATGGATATTTGTGTGCACTATACAGAATAGCCTAGCCTACAGCATTATTTTCCTAGCTAGACCCAAGTTGGAAAAATTAAGTACCATTTTGATTTTTCAGTTTGAAAACCATCCATCCACAATTGCTGGCCTCAAGTACAACTCGGCAATGAAGAACTGATTTTGGCCAACCCTGAAACATAACCATCATTACCGATACTGCGGTCATTTCATAAACATTGTGTGTGCACTGAATGTATAATATGGTATAAACTACTTAATAATTTAATCACTAACCACTGAATTATTAATTTGACGAATTTGCTTATAGTATAACAGACTGGTTTGTTGAGGGTAGACTAAATCACAAATACTGCATGGGCAGCATTGCACCGTGGTCATGTTGAATAGATTTTCATTCAAAAATGACTTGAGATATGCAATATTTCCCAGTTTTAAAGTGCAGCTAATGATAGTGATGGGATAGGCCAATCCGAAGGGTTTCCATAACCGAATAATTGATCGGTTATTTATGGTGTAAATTGAGGATTTGTATTGAATCAATTTTAGTCAGTATTCACTGTCCCAAACCAATACTAATTTTGATTTGAGAAATTGAATAGCATTTAGTTGTTAAGTGTCAATCGGTTTTTTTTGGTTGGACAAAACCCCGAATAAATTTTAGTAATTTTGCACTATTTCAAACATCAATCAATGTTATACCTGATCAGTGGCCATCCCAGGGGGGGGATGAGAGGGAATAAAAAGGGGTTAAAAAACTCACAGTTTGTTATAGCCTAGATCATATGGGCTGCACTTTACTTTAGGTCCTACACTCATTCGAATGAAAATATCGATCGATATATCGATTAACTAACCAAACAATATATCGAATGAAACAATCGAATAGTAGATATTTTAATTCGGTTGTTTGTGTAGGACCTAAAGTAAAGTGCAGCCATCATATGAGTAGGGCCTATATAAAAACATCAAAAAAGGCTAAAACAAAAACTCGTAAAATAAATTTAGGTACCGGTATCTGACAAAACTTTTATTACAATTTTAAAATGAACTAGGCCTAGCCTTTTTTGTGCTGACGTTATCTATGAACAAGAAGTGATACAATCCACTCATTCTGTACTAGCATAGGTAGAACATATTTCCTTAGTTAGTCTATGGTACCTTACTAGCCCCATGTACGTGATGCAGTTATTAAGGTAGGTATATCAGTCACTCAGTCAGTATGATTTTTCATGTGCATTTTCTAGTACCTACTGGAAACGTAATGAAATGTATAACTAAAGATTTAAATAGAAACGGGAGAAAGAAGGAAGAGGAAGTAAGCTCAAGAAAGACTAAAAAACTGAGACTTGAAACCACTTAATGACTTTTTTATTTGCCAGAACAGTTTCAATAGCTAGTATGTTAAATCACATTCCATAAAAACACAAAAATGTTTGTCATATCAGACATTAGATAAGCCAACTAAATACTATAGCCTAGGCCTATCTATTTATTTTAGTTAAAAGAGAATAAGGTTAAGTGCTAAATTTGATAAAAATTAGAGGACAGAGAATTTGTCCAAGCCCTTAAAGTTTTAAATAATGTACTTCGATCACGTATAGGCCTAACTATTAAATTTAAGAATAATACAAAACTAAATTATAGTGCCCAAGTGTAACTTACTTTATTTACTCAGGTTAGATATTCTGATTCTGAGACTGGAGGACTTGACATTGACCATTGATTGACAGTTTTGAGTTTTGTTTTGTTTTGACTTGAGTTGATCACACGATCACATGTTTTCAAGGTTAAAAACAAAAATCTTTATCTAGACGTAGAAGAAATTCGGAATCATTGTGTTAATTTTGCGGCGGAATGTTCCGTTGATTATGAAAACATAATACTATAAAAAAGTAATATAATTTTTGTAGAACTCTACGGGTATTACTAAGTTAACTAGTATTGTAATGTTCCATAATTCGCTGTCATTAGCAGAGGAACGAACATGAATCTTGCATTAGATCTAGTACCTACTGTACTGTATTTACCACAGACAGATATTAGGGTAAACTTGGAATTCTTGTTAATCATATTAGAAATATCATTTTTGGTATTTATTAACTTAAGCTGACAAAATAAATTGGAGAAGACAGATAATAAATAGATATATCTGTTTAAGTAATACAACATTTACTTTCTATATAGCAGTTTAAATCAGGACAATATATACCTTATTATTACCTTATTACCAAAGCTGCGTTGTTGACCAGCATAGCTGGATAAACTGCGTCAATTTTTTTAAATATAAATATTAATTATTTACAACAAAATAAAACTTGTATCTTTCAAGAAAATAAATTTGAAAGTTTCAAAAATAAAAATAAAAACTTGGCGGGTGACTACGGAGGTGATTGTGCACTCTACCATTTGTCCTCAAAATACTCTCTCACGGAGTAGTATGCTCCTTGAAGAAGCCTATCTCGCACAACCCTGGCAAACTTTTTTTCTGGAAGACTGCTGATCTCTGGGGGGAGTTTGTTGAATAACTTCCAAGAAAAGGCAGGAAAACGGCGCTGTGTTCCCGTGAGGCGGAATCTAGGGATGTCAATTTTGCATCTGCTACGTGTATTATAGCTGTGAACATCTCCTCTGGTCTTTAGTAGCTCAACATTCGACCTGACGTGTACAAGGGAGGAGAATATATACTGACCAATAACAGTATGCACCTTTAGCCTTCTAAAGATTGGCTTACAGTGTTCCAAAGGAGCGCTAGATGTTATGGCTCTCAAGGCAGATTTTTGTAGTCTGAGCACTTCATCACACCCTGAAGCATGGCCCCAGAGAAGTATGCCGTAAGTGATGTGACTATGAAACAGTCCGTGGTAGATGTTTATAAGAAAGGCATCACTTAAGTTACTCTTTAGCCTACGCAGCAGAAAGACAACTCTAGATAACTTTTTGCATGTTTCGTCAATTTGAGGTTGCCAACTCAATTTCCTGTCTATGGTGAAGCCTAGAAGTTTAACTTGTTGGGGTTGGTGGTGTTGTGATACGGCCAAATCTTGACTTAAACTGCAGACAATCTGTTGTGTTTTGTCGGCATTAACTTGAAATTTGTTATTTCTAAACCATATCTCCGCCAAAGCGAGGTCAGCAGCTGCCGCATCTCTGATTCCGTCCAAGCTCGCTCCTCCCCTAATCAGTGTGGTGTCGTCTGCATAAAGGAGAGCTTCCTCCCCACCACTGAAGTCGTTTAGTCGTATAGTTTAGTTATGTTTATTACCATAGATAAAACATAATCCCTAAATAGATTTCTTATCCTTATGTAACAGCTGGAGAATTTTTTTATTGTTAGTTCTGTCCGGTGCACTGTAGAATTTACGATTGTTCCTTGTTATTTCTACTCAGTCATTTAAAACCTAGTTTAACTAAATTTGTTTACCGTTAGTTTGCTCTACTGGAAGAAGTTTGATTATTTCATTGGCAAAAATTACAAAGCCTAACTGCAGACCACCAGATATCTACTGCATTAAACTAAATCCGTGCACACCAGGAAAATCCTGAGGTAGCCTAGATATTTATAGCTGTTTTCTCTCCGTGTCTCTGTGACTATATTTGCATTGGTCTCAGTTTACAAACCAAAATAGATTTAATATCAGTTGCTCAATGCTTACATCAGTTTGAGCATTTACTTTTTTCAAGTGGCGGTTCCAAGGGGAGGTGGCCATAGGAGCTAAAGCCCCCCTCATTGGCCTTAAATAAATTTATACATACATTTTGTCCCAAAAATGTAACGTGATCGGAGGTTTTTGGACACAGTTCTTGATGGTAAAAATGGCGTTAGAAAGCCACTAAACCGGCGTTAAAATACCAAATATTGCGGGAGAGGACCTCTGGCCCCCTTCTTTCTTGGGGGCCTCTTGACAAGTAGACTTCTTATCATTTTGTAAAGTCTGGTGTCAATATTGATGTAGTTCTCAAAATACACAAAACATGGCCACTTTAAATTTTTATGTTTGTTACCTGGAGGGTGCTTATATTGAGTACATTATTGAAAATTAGTTTCATTTTGTACATTTAAGATCAGTCAAAACCTCGCCATTTTACTGTAATAAACTCTGTGCAGTCTACACGTCCTCGCTTGTTCTCACTTTACAGTGCTCCCCACTGATTTACATTGAATCACTACTTATGTTCAACCTATTGAGGTTTGTTAAACTCAACTGCGTGAAGCCTGTTTTGATGCATGTTTCACTTCTGGTAATGTTTCAGTTTTGCTAGTGAACCTAGGTGTTTCAATCTCTTAAGGTTAATTTTATATATGTTACATAATTTCTTATGATAGGCAGGAGTTTACAAATATTTCTATTGGGTCATAATTTAAAGTTAGCAAAATAATGTAATAGTATTTTTAAACAAAGAGAAGACATTGCCAAAAAGTGTTATCAGACATAAATACCTTTAGATTTTGCTGATCCTAACGAAGGATGGTAATTTTGTAGGATGGTACGAAGGAGATCTGATAGTCAGAAGAGGAGCTCCTCAATTTGGACATTACTGAGAATGAGGACCTAAGGGCGTCTCAAGGTTGTAGCACACTTGGCTACTCTTGCGGAACTCCTTTGGTCTGAGGTCTGATTGGAAGTAGGAAATGTTCAAACGAGAGGATCCGAACACACATGAGTGGTACCGAAAAAATACCAGGGGTGGGGTCCCGAAAATACATGAAGAGCACTGTCGTCCCCGTTTCCACTGCTGCAACTCTTAACACACCTATAGGAACCCATCAGAGGTTTCACACCGGTAGGTAAAAAGAAGGTATCACACGGAAACGAAAAACTTCTACTTTGAATTCCACACCGGCAGATTTGAGAAAAGGTTTTACAGGTCTAGTTTTAAAAAGTTTTTAAAGGTCTAGTTTGTTCTTTTTTAACTTTTTATTGAAAAATATCTTTGCTAAGAAAGATGTTGATTCATGGGAAAATAATTAAAACTACCAATAAATATTAACATTGAAGTTTTATTGGAAACAACACTTTGGTATCTATCAACTAGTTGACCACTTTGAAAACTGTTGACATTTTTGTCTTCAGATGTATGTCAAAATTGTATATACATATCTTCAAACATTTGATTTATTGAGAAGTCCAAGTGTCCAATATCTCCACTTCTGGGAATTAATTTGTTCAATCATTCGTTACCAGTTAAGGGCCTAAACATCTCCAATTTATGTAAATGTGTTTCAAGGGAAGCATATTAAAAATAGACAGTCCATAAACAAAGGTCTTAATTCAATTTCATACGATAACAATGAATGTTTTATGTACCGGTATTGTGTAAGGCACACTATAGATTCATAAAATAATGTATATTTGAGAATTGGATCGGTTAAATGTGTTTTACTTGTGAGAAAGAGTGTTTCCTGCATATATATTTGAAAATATGTAAATAACAAATAAGATTATTTCAATAATTTTACTTTTTGTAGCTTGGTATTGTAGTCTTGGCAGTTTTTACTCTTAATTTGTATTATATGTATCATATGAACAATAAAGAGATACAAATTAACTGTGTCTAGCCTATATTGAAAACTAATTTTTTTAAAGATATTTTAAAAACTACCCAGTTGACATGTTTGATTAATTTTCACATTTTTATAGTACAAAACAAACCATAAAGTATTTGATAACACTAACACAGGTACATTTAAATTAAACTATTTCAATGTTATTTTACAAAAACTGTTAGCATTTCACTATTTAAGCTAAATATTTTTTTTCTTATTTTTAATCATTTTACCCTGAGTGGCAGTAAGAACTGTTCCGTACAGTTTTCATCGTGGTCTGCTTTTTAAAAATAGAGTCTCTAGTAAGTCCGTTTTAACAGTTGTTAAAAATACAAATTTTACAATAGTTGTAACAAAAACAATGCTTTACCATAGCATTTACAACGACATTTGTTCTGTACAAGTTCTAGTACACACAATATGTACATATTAGATGGGCAATTCAATTGAAAAAAAATATTTACATCATAACAAATAAGAGTAAGGTGCATTGGTGCATAAATTTCTTAGTCCAACATATTTCACTCAAATATTATTATTTGAGGTTATGTCTGATTTATATTTGGAATTATCTTATAGCCATTTAATACGGAGTTTGCAACCAAGCTTGCCTTACCAAAGAGTGTAATGTAGGTAGTCTTTACCCCGCTATTTTGTTAGAAAAGCTAGATGCCCATAAACAAATTTGTATCCAACACTTGCTAGAATAAAATTCTATTCGTATTAATTATTATACATCCATGTTAACTCTTTCTTCTAAAAAATTCTTTAAAATAATATTTTAGTGGCACAGTACATAGATATTGATGGATCTAAAGTGTTTAGTTTTGTTGTGAAATAATATTTATTATTTCTTAATAATCTTTTTGTAACACGATGCAAGATGCAAGTCATAGTTAATGAATTGAATTGCCCGGCCGTAAGACATTCAACATTTTACCTTACAGATACAAATTATTTACTACAACACAATGCATCGACTGTATGCAAGCTGTTGGGAATATCTTGACAAAAAATTTTAAGTGATTTATACTCCGCGCCAAAGCTGGTGGCGGCTGAGGGATTAGGACGGCCAGGTAGGACTACATAGGACGGACCTGCTCACCGACCTGGCCGTCCTAATCCCTCAGCCGCCACCAGCTTTGGCGCGGAGTATAGAAAGGTTCATGGATGAATTTTCTTTGTGGTTTTCTATTGGAATTAAGAGGCATAGTTTTTAATAAGAGGCAATAGTAAGCAAAATAACCACTACCAAAACTTCTTAGGATAAGTTTCAAAAGTAATAATTGTAGGCATGATGGTTATAAATTTAAATACTACATGGTTTTTAAAAAGATTTGTCTCATTAGTCAGAAATATAAACATTTAAAAACTATGCTGATTTTGATAGCTTACTAATTATATGGACCTGTTTATTAGTTTTTAAATGTAACACTTAGTATTTTGATTTTATTTCCAACAGTAGGATAATAGGATAATAGGTCAGTAAATTAAAAAAAAATCATTGGCATGAATAAAGAGAAAAATAATTCACCGGTTCTCAAATTTCTAATCCCAATTAAGGTGAGTGAGCGTAGCGAACGAACTTAAACCAGGACGTGTGAGCGCAGCGAACGAGCTCCAACCTAAAGTTGAGTGAGCGTAGAGAACGACATTCAACCAGGACGTGATTGAGCCATGCGAACGAGCTCACGTATGAAGTTAAACGGTGCAAAGCCCGCGGGTACAGCTAGTTCATGTAATAAAACAATTAAGTACCTACTGTTTATATTATTTTTGATTCTTATTAATTTTATGCTATCAAGAAAGTTCATCCATTGCAATAGTAGCATACCAAACCTTTTCTCCTAAAAACTATTGTTTTACGGAAACCATAGTTTTTAATATTATTTTTATACAATTAAATCATTTTTCATCACAGATTGTCCTTGAGGTTATCAAACAAATGTATTCAATTGCAATACATTTAATTATTTCAGCTTGCTACAGTGTGCAACAATGGAAATACAGCAGTACAATGTATTGCTATACAATACTTGGAAACTGGTTCAAAACTAGTTCCAATTATTATGTATTTTATTAAAAATAAGGTTATACTTAATCAGTTGGTCCTATGTAGTTTTAGTTACTGTTCTAATTTTTCCAGGAACAAAGGATACCCACCCTAAATAGGAAATCAGGGATTGTCTTCAAATGTTTTTTTTTTTTTTATGGAACTATTTTTAAAGTAGACATCCCACCTACATGGACCAGCTGTCGCCAATTTTTTATTAAAAAAGAATACATATGTGTGAGCTATTAATTAATTCGCTAGTGCCTAAAATCATAGACAAATAGAATAAATATAGACCGTCAGTTGTGCTGCGGTTATCATGAGTTCCGCCGCCCACCGCTAAGTTTGCCGTGTACTTACGGCGCACACCGCTGCAGCGTCTGCTGGTCGCATACGGCTCCTGCGCTGCGCTCCTCGCCTGCAGCGGTGTGCGTCGTAACTACACGGCAAACCTAGCGGTGGGCGCCGGAACCTTACTTTTACAGTCTATATTTATTCTATTTGTCTATGCTAAAATTCTGATTTCTACCTCAATTTTTGTTGCTGACCAAGTTGGGTCATCATAACCTTAACTTACAGCTCACAATAAGTCATTCCATTAGTTTGATTGGTAAAACAAAATGGTTTATATTACCTGTCCTTTAATGATCCTATTGGTAAAACAGTTTGTGTATTCAACAGAAATAGTAATTTAGATCACTAAAATCTGTCTATAGCTCACATCAACGAAAACGATTTTGATTAAAAAATGTGTGACAACTATAACTTTACATGGGGATGGAATGTCTAGTTGTATTAAGTCCAAGGTATTGGCCATGTCATGAGCAAATTTCTTGAAAATTTTTTTATATTTAAAAGTTACGATTCAGTTTAAACTTAAAAAAAAATTAATCTATTCTTAGTAGGTATATAATTGAATTATTTAGCATAAAAATAACCATGAAGATTGCAGTAACAGCTTTTTTTCCGAGCTAAAAACACTTGAGAAAATCAAACTAAACAATAAAATAAACATTAAGTCAAATTTTACATTGTGCAATTATATGTTACAGGCCCAAAATAAAATAAATATCTAGGCTGAAGAACAACCTATACATACAATACGGTATTGTTTTTTTAATCTTTAAATTCAGCTGCTTCAAACAGTACAGCCCATGGGATTAAAAATGCATAGGGCACTTTATACCATCTTTCTTACAATTTCCTAACACTTAAGTTTAAGGTTGTGCTATTTCCAGTTAGGGTAGCTTCTTAATTAAACACTCAGCTATAACAACTTTACAGCCATTTCCAAAAAGTTTTTTAACATGGTAAAATACCAAACAACTATTAACTTTGCCTAGTAGAAATATACCCATCACAGAAGTTGTCGTTATGACTTAACGAATTATTAACTATATTACAAATTACAGTAACAAAATAATAGCTCTTTAATTACAGGTTCTACAAGGAGTGTCCGCTTTCTAACCTACGCTACTTTCAAAATATGTATTAATGTACGTTACTTAAATTACCATGTCTCTTGCCAGAGGAAGAAGAGCTAAAGTATCTTTCAGCAAGGTTTGAAATTAGGAGAAGAATTTAAAGTTTATCTATATGAGTAAAATGTCAGTTTCCATTTGTAAGTTGCAGGTTCGCTTATTTTCATGCAACCACATAGCCTCAGTTTTAGTTAAAAAAATGACTTATAAAAAAAACAACAGCTAAGGAGTGGTTACACAAATTAAAATACAAACTAAAAAGGTAGGGCCCATTAAAAACTACAGAGCTTCAAGAAGAACTGGTAATATTGGAATTAATATTAATTTGAAATAACCAAATAACAACTTCATCAATATTTCTGAATTTTTAATTTTTATGAGACCTTTCGCCAGCTATGCTAGCATCATCAGACACATCACAAAACTCTTAACAAAACAGTTTTGTGATGTGTCTGATGATGCCAGCATAGCTGGCGAAAGGCCTCATAAAAATAAAAATTCAGAAATATTGGTGAAGTTATTATTTCAAATTAATACTATAGAGCTTGTTTTGAAAATGTGAATGTTACAGTTTTTATACTTTGAATTAATGGTTTTTCCACATTAAATTGCTACATGATATAATTTTGATAATACTGTACATACCAATTTTGTATTGAAGCGTATTCAAAAATAGTCATTATTAAGGAAAATATTTTTTGTGTTTTTTTTATAAACTCAAGATTTAAAATTTAAGGAGTTGGTATCACAGGAAAAAGAAGTTTATGGTTTTGTCAGAAAAAGAAAATCTTATACATGGTAGAGACATGTTTGGTGTTTAATACAAACTTAAATAAATCCCTGTATAAAATAGTACTATGTTTGATTGTGATGCCTTTGATAACATTTTAAATTCAAATTGCATGTTATAGTTTATTTATGAACTAAAGAGGAAATGATGATTTATTATTGTTATTATTTATTATTATGAAGGTCTAGAATCGCCACTGTTTAAACTATTGTAAATTATTACAGTACAGGTAAGGTTTTAAAATTTCACAACCTCTTTTAAAAACGCCTGAAGATGACTCTGTCTTCAACTTATTTCTTAGTTGGCAGTGAAATATTATAAAATGTTGTGTATAATGTAACTTTTAGTGTTTCTTGTACCATATTGGTTTTTTTCCCATTGAGGCACAACTGCTATCCTCACCAAAAATCATAAAAACCTAAACCCTTGTGCTCTATTTTACATTCTTAACCTTATTTTTAGTAAGAAGAGTTTAAATACAACATAACCTAACACAAAGGCATCACAACCAACATATTTTGGTACACAGAATTATTGCAATTTCTAACCTAAAACAAAGTTTCTTGTGACCAGGAGGTGAGGTCGCGCACGGAGGAGGTTTGTAGTCGGCTGTGTTCCGTGAGCACGCGGACCAGGTGGTCACAACTCAGTGAGGTGGAAGGTCTTGGCCTCGCCTCTTGTAGAGTGATGTTCTCCGTGGTCGTTGTTGTCTTTTCCAGAGTATCGCTAGAGCTGGCCTCGTGAGGCAACGGCAGCTGCGGTCTACAAGAAACGTCATCACCATACGAACCACCCCGCTCGCGACTTTTCCCCTTATCTCGTGACGAGGGCGTAGAATACCTTCGTATGGGCGTCACCCCATGGAACCTGCCCGCCAAAGTCTTTGGATAGTTCGACATTTGTAAATGTTCGGCAAAAGGAACACTGGACGGATTGTATTTATCGAATTGTCTTTTCGTTTCGGCGTACTCTTGGACATCACTGTCGGTCGAGAACTCCTCCGCCTCGTCCTCCGTGTCCATGCATTCCTCGTCGAGGAAGACGGAGTCTGAGCCGAGAGAGTGGCAGTCGGAGACTGCAGCTTCTGGTGCAGAGACTGAGCTCACCTGCACAGACATATGTTGTACAGTATTGTATTGAATTACAACAACCTAATTCGGGTAAAAACTTTTAATCAGGTACAAATCGTTGAGTAAATGCAAAAATGGATTTAAATTGTTATCAAGTTTACATAGTCTAATCAATTTTTAGAAATTTCTGGCAAAACCTGATTTACGACTTGTTGGGAGCCATAACTCGTTCGTACCCCACAATCTTGCTCATATTCCTGCCTAAAAAAATATTTGCCAAGCAAATATTCGAAGAACTAAGTTATATTATGAAAAAGCTGGGTAAGTAGTGGGAAGTACTTACCTGAAACCCTAAGACCCTAACAATAGCATCTGTTTACCGGTATATTATTTTATAATTTTCTCAAAAGGTAACCCAAAAACCTTTTTTTGGCACAAAGTTTATGGAACACCATTCCACTTTGGTCAACCTCAAATCATCTGGCTGAGAATTCATGAACTACTCGTACCTGACAGCTACTAATGGAAGCTAAGGGCGCAAGGCGGTGGGGCGAGGAGGGCAGTAGGAGCGGCGAGAGCCCCACAGAGAGAGGGGGCGAAGAAACACGAGGGTGGTCGTACAACGTGCCGTCACTGGCGCAGGGCGACAATAGAGGCGTAGGCTGGATCACCTGCAACTGACAACATGTTAGAACTTGTACAACACTTGGACAGTTGTAGAGGGGGAATATTCAAAATTGGGGGAGGGGGTGATACTTATCATGTGTTTGTGTTGACTCATCAACACAATAATGTTCCATAGAAAAAATCTTTCTCAGTAAAAAAGTGTCCACTTTGTACTTTTTAGAATATTCTGACTTTTAGCTGAATTTAACATGTGCTGAATAACAAACCCAATTTCTTTTGAAAGTTTTCATTATTCACTTTCCTATGTACAGGTAATTCTAAAAGAGATTTTCAAAATCCTTTTGTTTCAATAAACATTAAGTGATTATTATCATATATCACTCAACATTTTACACCCTGTATGAATTTGCAAATAAAGTATTTGTGGAGTGCTAATAAAACTCTGATTGAATCCTTTCGGTACACACCAAAAACCAAAGCCCTAATTTTTAGGAGGGACGATGAAGTGTAACAAGGCAATGAGTGGTTTGTTATTCACTCCCTTCGGGAGGGTTTCCGCCCGTAAGTGGCTCGAGGGAGTCATTGGTTATTCTACCTAAAACATGACCAGTGAGGGTTGTAGTTGGCTTGTAAAGATAAATTCCCAACGCTAACAGAACAATTCCTGGAACGTTGTTGTTTCAAAGATTTTGTTAAATTTACTATTTAGATAATAGACTATGTCCATTTTGTTTTAAAAACTGGCAACAGTTTTAACAAGCGGATGGAATGTCTATTTCTATCAGCAGTCAAAGGCAACAACAACAAATTAACAATTGTTACAATTAATTGTTATTGCTGTTATTTAGCAATTGTAATCGGAAATTTAATGTGGATTGCAACAATTCTTTTAACAACATGGAGTGTTAAATTTTAAAATTTGCATTTTCATTGATTCCTCTACTGAGGTCTATTTATAACAAACAAAATAGCATTAAAATAGTCACAGACATATAAACAATTATTTTACTGAGTATGTTTTGTTTGTTTTCCTGCCATTAACATTTTGTACGCTATTTGTATATCCTTAACTCTTGACTTTGTAAAATCATCACCCTAAACATTTTGAAAGCAAAAGGGACAAAGCCCTCGGTCAGTATCGAAGAATAAATAGTCTTAAACGAATCCTTGGTATAGTAGCTATATTTTTGTAAAATTTAAGCCCAGAGTTCAATAATTTTTACGTGATTGAGTAACAAACATACAGGAAAAAATTAGATTTTTATATAATAGTTTAGATTATTTAGTTAATTATTAGTCAAATGACAATGTCCGTTTGGGACTGGACCAACCTTTAGATTTAAAGGCTACTATAACCACTCGACCATTTACACAATTACTTTAAGTACAAAATTGCTTTGCAAAAATTTTAAATGTAGTACTATACTGTATTCTTGCACTCTTGCATAAAACGCAATGTAGGTAGAAGTGGTGTATACTTCATGTTCAATTCCGGTAGGCAATTACATAGAGCAATGTATGGTGTGCGTGTGTGAGTGAGTGTTTGTGTGAATAATACATTTGCTTGTAATGCATGCATAGAGAGATAGCCTCTCTCAGGATGTAGACATGTTGGTTCTCTTTGTAGCTCGATAGATAGCTTACACGAAAAGTTTTACAAAAAACAATTTGATATCTGTAGAAGATATCCTTCCACTTTTTAGAATGTTAATAAGATCTCGACAATCTTTTGGATGTTTCTTTGCATGCTTGATTATTTATAAAAAAAAAAAAATTTTGGTCTACAACTGCAATTTATAGCATTTAAAATGTATATCTTGGCCAAAAGAAGAAAATAATCTTATTAAGCCCAGCTCATTATTTAAAACTGTGATCACCTACTAAAAACAGTTTAAATTGGCCTAGTAGGGATCATTTTCCTGGTTTTTCTACAAAATCTCTCTTGATGGTATGACCTAAACATTTAACTTAATTAACTTAACATCAACACTATTTACTGACAGAGACTATTTGCATCATCAAGAATTGGTTTCTTTACTTCATGTTAAAGAGGTACAAATTGAACCACACATTATCAAGAGATCTGTTTGTGTTTTCAAGAGATAAAGTGGATTCGACTTTCCTAATCTCTTGAGACTTTGCAAAGCTCGAATTGTTTTTAAAGCTTTCTCTAACTCTAACAGACAGCTTCTCTCGAGGTACCGTATATGCCAGAGCTGAATTAAAAATATTCCATTAAGATTTGTACTTTATTATTGTAAATAAAACATTCAGGACCAAGAACATTTTTAGGACCTTAACAATATTAAGGTAGAAAAAAATGTAATCGTTCAGCCAGGCACACTAGTGAAAGTGAAAGGATTAAAATGTTTATCCTCTCAAATTCTTCAAAAGATTTTATAAAAAAAAAATGGTTGTGCTTGAGAAAAGAGATCAAAAGTAGGTAGAAGTATGTTTTTATACTGTGTATGATAAACACTTAATTTTTAATTTGAACTTGTTTTTCCACACTCCACGCTCCGCTTCCGCACCTAGGACAACCGGCTTAAACGTTCATAATCTGTAATACTAGTTGATAATTTTTGCCTTGGTAGCCGAGTGGCTATAGAGCTCACCTTCAAATCTGGAAATTTATGGTTTGACCCATAGCTGGGGTAACAGCCCTTACAAAAAGAGTGAAAGATTCCAACGGTGTGAGGGAAAAAGTATGAGAATGCATTACAGTGACACCATATCACCTGGATGTCTATAGGGTAGTAGAAGTCCCAGCTGTCGCTAGGCAGGGGAGGTCTGCGCAGAGGAGGCGGGGGAGGATGCCCCACTTCCACAGCTGACCCTCGCCTCTCTAGATACGACGTGTCAGCACTAGAACATGTGATGGAGCTAAGCCGCCGAGACGCTCTTCTAGACGGCACCTGCAGGAAGTTGACTGGGTAGTCATCGTCTTCCTCCTCCTCTTCTTCCTCCTGAGAAATAGTGTTAGTCTTGTAATCGGCGTTCACATTTTAGAGTTGATTATTTTAAAAGCTGCTTTGTTTTACTAGTAGCCCTTTTGTAAAAAAACATCGCTCTCATATATGTTGTTTGATTCTGTGTCTATAATAGTCAAAATAGTTAGTGGTGAGCTAGGTTTAAATTTACAATTTATAATTATTTATGTTTCAAGTTTCAAACGCTTAGGGTCTAAACGTTTCTCACGCATTACACACTCTAGTGTCTTTTATCAGAGAGTAAGAATGTACGTTTGATTGACTATGTAGTACATACAGCCCATAAAAATATTTTTGCTGAGAAACGTTAGTGTTTAAATTACATGGACATTTTGTCTGAGACTTACTTTGGAAAAATCACTGCTGATTTTACATGTGAAGGAACAAGTGCTAACCTTTTGAATTCCAACTAATCTTAAGGGGCATGTATCTGATGTACCCAGCAAAAATCTTACTTCAGTAGTGATGATTTATTTAAATGAAACTGCATTTTTAGTAAAATTAAAATTTGATTGACAGTTTTAAAATCAAAGGGGCAATCTTTTTCTCCTGGTTATAAGAAACTAATATCAACATTCACAACAATAACTCAAGATAGAGAAATGCCATTTAATATTACATCTCTCAATATTCTAGTATTTAGGTGATTCAAAAGTTAGGTGTGATGACAGCCTAGTGGTTGTTAGCGTCTCAAACTTAGGAGCGAGAGGGATGAGTTTGATCCCAGCATATCCAACTAAAGAGGGCTTGGAGCGGTTTCCCTCAAAACAGCTTGTGGTTCTTTTTATAAAAGCCATTAATGTATACACTGTTAACAAAAGACGTACCTCGGGGTAAGGCCGCTTGAGCGGGGGTGAGGTGAGCGTGAGCCGAGGAGATGGCACAAACGCTGGCATTTTATGTTCCACAACCGGCACACTGACCCTGGCTCGCTGTCCGTAGTTGCACAGTCTCATGGGAGTGTTGAGCATGTTGTGACCTCCCAGAGACGAAAACCGAGGGAACGGTCGTCCGATGGGAGCACTCATGTTGCCTAGCGACCGCCGCGGGCCGTACAAGTTGAGTGCGTTGAGAGCCAGCTGCTCCTCCTCTTCTATGGCAGCAGCCGCGACTGCTGCCTCTAGATGCTCGTCACTGAGCGACCGAGATTTGCACTTGCTCTTGTAGACAACCAGCAAAACCATCAAACCGAAGAATCCGCCCAGAGTGGCTGCGATGCGGACCTGCGCAAATATACCAAACACCATGCAATTCCATTCATTTGGGTACTGAAGTGGACATCTTATATTTTTATGTAATTATTTTTTTTTTAGATTTTCCCAGTAATGTGAGTTTTATAGTAAGGTTTATAAGTGTATCTCTAAAAATGTCTCTTTTACTGTAGCATTTGGAGTAGCCTATGTTTAACCTACGAAGATGATAACAACTTCATCATTGCAATGAGATAACTGCTCCAAAACAGCTTCACACAACTGCTGAATGATACTCTGCTTATCATTGGTCAAAGATATTATTAAAAATGTATGCTTCAAAGGAAGACGATGTACAAATCTCTTTTAACTAGCATTTGTTTCAATGTTCTTGATAATTTGGCACAAAAAATGTGTTTATAAAGTCAAAATGGGTCGTCTCTTCTCAAAATTTGATCCGTTGAAGACAAACTACAACTGAACTTGAACGTTGAACATTTATTTGAAATATGTACTCACCCCTGTCATAACGTCATAGGTCTTGTAGAATTCAATCCTGATCTGCTCACGGGGAGAAACAGTAGAGAGCGAAGTTGGTGGTGTCGAGGTGGCCGGCGGAGCAACACTGGGGCTGGCCACGGACACCTCCGCCATCGGCCGCCCTCTGTAACATACAACACACATAATCAGAACATGTTAGAGAGTCTATGTAGAACACTAGTGCTAACCATAGTCATTTCCACCATCGGACACACATCATCAGAACATGTTAGATGTGTGCTTAGGTAAAGCAACACTAGGGCTGGCCATGGTAACTTCAGCCATCGGCCGCCCTCTGTAACATACAACACACATCATCAGAACATGTTAGAGCGTCTAGGTAGAACACTAGTGCTAACCATAGTCACTTCCACCATCGGACACACATCATCAGAACATGTTACTTGGGTCCAGGTAGAGCAACACTGGGGCTAGCCACGGGCACCTCCGTCATTGGCTGCCCTTTGCAACATACAACACACATCATCAGAACATGTTAGATACGTCCATGTAAAGCAATACTGGGGCTGGCCTTGGACAACCTGCACCATCGGCCGCCCTTTGTAACATAAAGCACACACCATCAAAACATGTTAGATGCGTCTAGGTAGAGCAATACTGGGAGTGGCCGTGGACAACCTGCACCATCGGCCGCCCTTTGTAACATAAAGCACACACCATCAAAACATGTTAGATGCGTCTAGTTAGAGCAATACTGGGGCTGGCCGTGGACAACCTCCACCATCGGCCACCCTTTATAACATAAACCACACATCATCAAAACATGTTAGATGCGTCTAGGTAGAGCAATACTGGGAGTGGCCGTGGACAACCTGCACCATCGGCCGCCCTTTGTAACATAAAGCACACACCATCAAAACATGTTAGATGCGTCTAGTTAGAGCAATACTGGGGCTGGCCGTGGACAACCTCCACCATCGGCCACCCTTTATAACATAAACCACACATCATCAAAACATGTTAGATGCGTCTAGGTAGAGCAATACTGGGGCTGGCCGTGGACAACCTCCACCATCGGCCACCCTTTATAACATAAACCACACATCATCAAAACATGTTAGATGCGTCTAGGTAGATCAATGCTGGGGCTGGCCACAGACTCTGCCGCCATTGGCCGCCCTTTGACCGTCCCAACATATAAAATCAGATAATCTAAATGGGTTATATTTCAAATAAGAAAATGTACTTATGCTATAAATTTGTACGTTTTCCGTTGTCTCCGAAGACTACTATTTTTGGTGAATCTTTTTGAAAAGCCCTATTTGATGAAGTTAGCCACCAACGGCTCATAAATGAGCCGCACTGCTTGTATGAACCAGCTGTATGTATATCGGCCTAAACAATCCATAAGACCGATGACTACTGATGTATTTTTACCCCCCAGATCGAAATAGATCTCCCATTAAGTCACCTCTAGAAACAACGCATAGGAACAATTCTCTCTGCATACCATGCGGATTGTGTAATCTCTACTCTTTCGTGTACACTCATTGTTAAATTAAGTTAAGAATAATGTCTGATGGAATATTATAGGACATTTACTTTCAAGTGATACACGCCTTATACACAGGCTTATACACGATCTACAATTATGAAATGGCCAGACTCAATTAGGAGACGTCGGCTCATTTGTAACGATTATCACATGCAATTAGTCAACAAGTAAAGTATACAAATTATTACGATTTTTTTGCTAATATAATACATTGTGAAAAAATATTCATCCTTTTTTTATAGTAGATTTCTAACATATTAGAATGATTTTTCTGAATGCCCAAACAACGGTAAGGAAGCTATGTTGGGAGTTGTAGTTGAGGAGGTTGTTACCTGATTCTTGCCACTCAAGAGGCACTCTGATAAGATTAACCGCGAGTCCACAGCTAACAATACCCCTAGACTCTATGTCGTTACACACTACATAGCCTCTTGACATATAATGGTCAGCTGGTTCTTATTTTCTCTTTCTCTACTAAGTGAAATAGTATTGCATCACTAGGGCGTAAAGTGACTATTTTCGTCACAAGCTTAAGTGACCCAGGCGAGGCCGAGGCCAGAAAATGAGCGGGAGTTGACAAACACTTTTTTCCGAGTGATGAACCACATTTTTCGTTGTATTGCACCGTAAGGCAAGTAGGTTACAAAATGAAAATACTTTTCATGTAAAGGTAAGCTTTCAAAATGATTTCTATCTTGTTTTCAACTTTTCTACTGTGAACAAGCAGCTGTTTAGTTAGGTAGTGAATAATTATGCTTATTAATACATAGAGGATACGCGTCCGGTAACCGGACGTGGATAAGGCGTACGGCAATGACGTCATGGGGTTGCGGGAGCCTGGAACGCCTTTACCACAACAATACAATGACCAGCCATCGGTGTTCGTGGTGTAGTGGATAAGGTGCTCGGCTGATATGCAAAAGGTCCAGGGTTCAAATCCCATTGATGACTTTAACTTTTTGTCGAAGAGTTTTGCATTGAATACCATTTATTCTTAACTGTACATCTTTTATTAGAATTTTTGGCATTAATAATTTTTTTATAGAGAAAGAATTTCACCTTAATTCGATTTTTTCACTATCAGCAAGTTTGGTTGGTTAGGTTAGGTTATGACAGTAATTGCCGGACGTCTAATCCACGTCCGGTTACCGGACGCGTATCCTCTGCCTTATTAATAATTGTGTTTGAGTACATTGATATCGATATGTCATACTATATTTAAAATATCGCTGGGTTTCTTGAGTCGATCAGGCTTTCATTGCAATAAATTGTTTCGCCGTGTCCATCTGAATCGTAAGATAGATTCATTATGTAAATATTTATCTTAACATGAAAAGTACGGTATTTACGTTTTGTAACTTCATTGGTTTTAATTATGGTGCAATATAACAAACCATATAGTTCACCAAACATCAAAAAGTGTATTAAACTTAACATTTTCTCATCTTAAACTTGAGCTCGTGTCAAAAAGAGTCATTTTACGCCCTAGTGAAGAAATAAAATATTTGGAGGGAGAGGAGATTATTAGAATAAATGGTTTAAAGAACTTACTAGTCGTTAATTTTAGTTTAGAATTATTAATAAAACTTGATAAACTATTCATTAACCAGGAGAAATGGTAATACAAATTAGATTTCTCTCTATCTTCATGTAAAATTATTAGACAATTAACAGTAATTAAATACATTTTAAAATTTGGAAAACAACATAAAAACGTTTTTACCAGTAACCTGTTAGGCCTGCAGCAAACTATGATTCACTTAATCATATCTTCATCAAGCTCTGGTTGTAATACTCCATCAAGATTTTAATATTCAAACAACCAATTGAGTAAAACCAAAGTTGTCAGTTCTGAAGTGGTCGATAAGTTCAAGATGGTAGTAGGGTTGCTATAGGGGGGGGGGGGGAAGGGGTCCCATCGAGCTGTAACTGAGAGCTGTTAATGATCTCACACTTTTGTAAAAGAGTAAACTTGACATACATCCAGATAATGTTACACCTTAAGTACATTGGAGAAAAGCGAGGTTAGATTTTTACATTTTACACTTTATTTTAACGTTTCTTCTGATATTTTATTTATTTAAAGGTGCCAAACTATACGTAGCATTTTTTGTTTCAGTATCCATCAAACTTTAACTATTTCATTAGGGCTTTTTGTCCAAAAAACGTACACAAATACAATGGTCAAGCAGAGGTACCGAATCGATAAATAAGTAATTGGTTCCAGCAAAGAAAGAATCTGATTTTAGTGAAGGCTATAAAACATTCACACATCTTTGTATTTCAATGTCTCAAGCGTCGCACGAAAATGAAAGAATCGAGTATACAATATTATTTTAATTACATCAGATCTAAACCTACGAGTCTATCTATCTATCTATCCAACGATCTATCTATCGATCTATCTATTCGAACGAGTTCGTTAACCAAAATGATCGGACCATGGGAACTGGATTTTACGGGGGGATTTATAGGGTGAAGATTTGTTTTTCTAACTTCTGAGCCTAAAAACCTAAAATTTCTCAATTTCTCTCTAACCTATCTGAAGAGCTTAAAAACAAATAATTTAATATAATATTAAAGTGGTTTTGTACGCTTATTGGTTACAGAAAAAATCAAATAATTGTAAATTTAAATTCCCACGTTATAAGAACAACATAGAATTTGTTGTTTTGTACAACAGAGTTTGTTATTATCTAGGCCTACAAGAGTTTACTTATTCTCTCTATAAGAATGGAGAATAAGTAAACTGTTGTAGTTTGCTTGTTTATCGATATATTTCGATCCAACTTGGTAAATTTAATTCATTTTATCCCAAGCTATTCATATTTAACTAAAAAACACACTTTATTACTCTCGCTGTAGCAGAAAGCCTAGTTACTCGTTAAACCTTGTGTTATTTGAGCAAATAGAAATCCGTTTAGTCTGCATGTTTGCTGAGGCGGGGTATGTTTTTTTTTCTATAAACCAACATAAATTTAAACAACACTTAGGTTTCTTTTTATTTCAACCCATTCGAAGACTTAAAAGGTTTTTATCGTATACGGTCACTGTATGGATAACAAAGCCTAAACTATAAACATATGCATTTATACAAGGTTACTTATGAACACAATTTTTCCATTTACCTATTCATCTGATTTAATCCATGAACTAAACTGCAATAAGCGTGTATACACTACAAGCAACATCATTTTTGTAACTTGTTTGCTTGGCGAGAAAAATAATTAAAAATTACTTACAACGCTATACATACAATATTTACATAAGGCTATTTAATCTTACTAGAAATCCTAAAATACATTACATAGTTAAAATAAACCGTTTTGAACCTTTATACAACAAAAGCGCTAACATTCAAAACATTTTTGAATAGTAATACAGATATTGCCCTGTACAAAGGTGGAAAACCCCTTTCGGCTCTTTGAGTAGAAACCGCTAAAACAGTGGTTATCGTTATTCAATGGAACAGAGGTGTAGTGGCCGTGGCAGGGGATCTCCAAGGGTTTACACTGCTTTGTTTCCGTAACATTACAGATGTTCAACTTAGCCTCACTGTTACTGAAATAGTTTTCATCAGAGACCAGAAAAGCGGTCTTTCTGTGTGT